TGAAAAAGAAGAAGAAGGAAAGAGAAATTGAAGGTTGAGGAGTTTAAGAAGATTGGAACCTGTACTGGATCCTATTTTAAGAAAAGGGATTGGGCAGTAAATGTTCAAGCAAAGTTAGCCGCACTCCACACTCTTGCTAAGAGTTATAAACTGGAGGATGAATTATACTTTAGCAGTATTGTACCTGAAATAATAAAAAATCTCCCTTATAAACTTCATGAAGGTATGCAAAAAGAGTTGAAGGAGGAGGAAAACTCTGATGGTGTCTTATCTAGGCAGGTAATCTATGAGAAGTTGGTTGTGTTCTTGGGAAGGTTTGTTGAACATCTAACCTTTGAGATAAATTATGAAATGTCTGCTGTGAATTCCCTGGATAATATCAAGAAGGATAAGCTTGAGCCGGCAACCAAGAATCAAGGCAAGAAAGCTTACTCAAACCAGGACACCAGAGCCTCCAATGCAAAGCAAGGAAACCAGCCAAGTGACTCCAGGTCTAGAAAAGAGCCAAGATCTCTAAAATGTACTCAATGCTCTGGATACCATACACACCTGTACTATTGTGAAGAGTTCTTGAACTCCAAAGGTAGAGATAGATACACTCTAACAGGCCAAGCCAAGGTTTGTTTTAGGTGTTTGCGAATGGACTCATCTGTGGACTTTGATAACAGAAGAGATTGGTGGAGGAAGCATAGTAGAACCTGCAAGACCAATTACATTTGTCAAGCTGGTCAATGTGCAGGAGAAGAGTCTAAACAATATCACTTTACAATGTGTACTTACCATGTGAATGAGAACAAGAAACTCGAGGAAGAGTTCATCAAATCTCTTGATAAAACCAAGTTCCCTAAGAATCTAAACCCTAGGAATATTAAGTTCTTTTTCTCATCCAGGATGTATGCGACCAAACCTGGAGATAATGAATGCCAACCTGAACACAGGGTTTACTTGCCAGACATTGAAGAACCTTCTTTGTTCCTTCTCCAAAATGTCAAGTTGAGTGATAACCATGAAGCACTTATGTTTTATGACTCAGGGTGCCAAGGAGCTGCAATTTCCAGCAGAGCTGCGGAGATAATAGAAACTGAAGTTGTGAGACCAGGTCCAACCATATTAGATGTTTCTGGTGGAGGTTCTATTGTAATTAAGCATGAAGATGAGAGGTTCCATCTTGAAATAGCTAATTCAAACTAAGTAGCCACAATTACTGGCCTGAGAATGTATAGCATCACCTCCCCCTTTCCAGCCTATGAGCTGCAGGAAGCTTGGGAGGAAATACAAACCCAATATAAAGAAAAACACAAAGGTCAGAAACTTCCCACTGTAGATAAAACTGTTGGTGGAACTGAGGTTGATTTGATGATAGGAATTAGATACAATAAGTACTTCCCTAAGCTCTTGTTCACTCTACCTGGAGGATTAGGTATATATAGAGCTGTGTTCACCTCAGCTACAGGTTGCCAAGGAATTCTTGGTGGTCCGCACAAAGCCTGGAGAGCAGCTTATGAAACAGGCATGTTTATGAACCCTAGAATGTACCTCAGTATGGAAGCGAAGGCATATGTAATGGAAATGTCCTGGGTGAGGATTAACCAAGATAAGTTATCTCATCTGGAAGAGCTAATGAAAGAAGACACACTGAAGCCTGTTATACCTCCAGTTATGAAATGCTCTTTAAACCATTGTGAGGCTCACTCTTCAATTAGGGAATGGACAATTCCAAAACAATGGAAATTGAGCTGTACAGCCTATAACCTAAAGGAGAAGGAAAAGAGATTTTATGAAGCAGAGGATATAGGAGCTGACATCCAATACAGATGTATCTCATGCAGGAACTGTTCTAAGTGTAGAAAAGGAGACTTTCTTGAGGAAACCAGTCTCAGAGAAGAGATGGAGCAAGCACTCATTGAAGACAGTGTGAAGCTGATCCCTTAAAAAGGAAAACTAGAAGCAAGCCTTCCCTTCATAGAGAATCCTATTGAAGTTCTCAAACCTAATAGCTTTGTTGCTGAGAAGATTCTAGAGTCACAATTAAAAATCTATTAAAAATACCCAGAGATGAGAGAAGATAACGTTAAAGTCCCATTATAAACTTTTGTTGAAGGGACTGCCCAGAGGAGAGAAAAAGAATGGATTCCACTCCTGGAGATGGATATGTAATTCCATGGAGAACTGTTTATAACACTGGCAGTCTTTCCACTCCTTGTAGAATGGTGTACGACGCCAGTGCCAGGACATCTTGTGGTCATAGTTTGAACTCAACCCTTGCTAAAGGTCAAAATAGACTTGCAAGACTTGTGGACCTTTTTATAAGCTCATACCAAAACACTATAAATTTCAACAATACCTCCTCTGGAAAGAATCATTGGATCCCAAAAACCCAACTGTGGTTATGATAGTGAAGACTCTCATCTATGGAGTTAAGAGCTCCGGAGGTCAAACTCAAGCAGGACTGAATGAACTAGGAAAGTATTGCATGAAAATGTATCCTGAGCATGCACTTGGAGCCAAGGTCCTAATGGAAGAAACTTATGTTGGTGAAATCCTTGCTTCAGAAGATAATGAGCGCTTAAGCTCATTGGTGGCAGAGGAGACTTTTAGATGATCCACATAGGTTTTACACTGCCCCCAAAGAGAAGTCGACGGAGCCATCCTTCAAATGTAGTGGACTCCAGCTAAATATTTTAGAAATCTGCATCTTTCATTTTGCTTTTAAATTGAACTGTAAAATCTAGTCAAAGATTAAAGCACAGGGTGATTTTAAGGACCCTTTTTAATTGAGATTTAGGACAGAAATTTAGACGCAGATATTATGGAATTTTTATTTACTCGATCTGGTTCAATCTAAACAAATTACAAGATAGATAAATTTAGTTGATATAAATAATAAATAAATTTAATTTATTATTTATATCAACTAAATTTATCTATCTTGTAATTTGTTTAAATTGAACTGTAAAATCTAGTCAAAGATTAAAGCACAGGGTGGTTTTAAGGACCCTTTTTAATTGAGATATAGGACAGAAATTTAGACACAGATATCATGGAATTTTTATTTACTCGATCTGGTTCAATCTAAACAAATTACAAGATAGATAAATTTAGTTGATATAAATAAAAAATAAATTTAATGTTATAGCATTAAGAAAACAAAATTACACACTTAAAACTGCATTATCTCAATGTTCTAAAGCCGAACCTCTCTCCAATTCAATTGAGAATACATCTGGTGGACTTCACTCCTTCTTATATGGACCATACCCGGTGGACTTCGATCTTCTCCTGGGACCATATCCCGTGGACTTCACTCCTTCTTATAGGACCATATCCGGTGGACTTCGATCCTCTCCTGGGACCATATCCTGGACTTATCTTCTTAGTTCCATGGTTACTTGGAGACTGAGGAATTGCTGTGAGTATAGTTGTATTGTGTACATTTGGAGGTGTGACAGGCTCCAACTGTTCATAGTGTACAAATTCAGTTTCCTGCTTGGGGGGGGGGGGATGTCAAGTTCTGTAGGTTTTTTCATTTATCTTTGATGGTGGCAGAGGAGACTTTTAGATGATCCACATAGGTTTTACATTTGTTTTCCCATGTTTAGAAATAAATCAAGTTTAATTTATCAGTATTTGACAAAGGTGCTCGTAAATGTAGAAAGTTAACAGCTAGTGGTTCAATCAGGTAGATAGATCTGAGCTTGGGGGTCAATTTAGTTAAAAGTTTGTAACTAGGAGGTCAATCAGTTAGCAGTTCATAGCTAGGGGGGTTAATCAGGAATCAATTCTTATCTAGAGGCCCATTCAGGTAGCATCTAGGAAGCAGTTTATAGCAAGGGCTCAATCAGATAGAAGTCAATAGATAGGGGTCAATCATCTAGCAATATTTCAATTTTTACATGATGCTGTTATATTTGTATGAAACCACTTGAGCCTGGGTGCAAATTTTTTTTAAAGAGTGATTTGGGCCAACCGTATGTACACGGAGCCACTAGCAAGTCTTTATATCTCTTCCTGGTGGTACTGGCCATAGGATAAGATAATGAATCCAAGTACGTTTGATCTACTGGTTATTTGAGCTACTGGTCATTTAAAATACTAGTAATTTAAACTACTACTGGTCATTTGAAATACTGGTCATGTGACTACTGGTCATTTGAACTACTAGTCATTCGAACTACTGTTTATTTAAACTACTGGTCATTTGAACTACTGGTTATTTGAACTACTGGTCACTTGAAATACTAGCCATTTTAACTACTGGTCATTTGAACTACTGGTCATTTGAACTTTTGGTAATTTTGAATAATAGCCATTTTAACTACTGGTCATTTGAACTACTGGTCATTTGAACTACTTGTCATTTGAACTACTGGTCATTTGAACTACTGGTCATTTAAACTACTGGTCATTTGAACTACTGGTTATTTGAACTACTGGTCATTTTAAATACTGCTATTTTAACTACTGGTCATTTGAAATACTAGACATTTTAAATACTAGTCATTTGAAATACTGGTCGTTCTGTAGTTGTTCATGTGACACCATGATAAGTAGTTGAAAGCAAATAAAGACTATTGTATTCATTAATATTTTTCTTTATTTTCAAATAAATCCGTAAAAATATGAATATTGTGAATTTAATATGTGACAAAACTAACAATAAAATTCTTGAATAAACTATTTAAATTGAACCAGAAATGTAATGCATATGATCTAAAGAAACTTAGTTATAAAGAAGAACAATAGTTCAAATGAACAAAACTTAAAAAATGTTACTCGGTCACTGGATTCCTCAATTTGAGAAGAACCATAATTTTAATATATCGACCCTTAAAATAACTAAAGCAATGATTCAGATCGAAAATGTGAAAAACAGGGCCTCCTTTAAAATTAGAAGTTATTTGCTTTGACCCTATTTTGAAACTTTTAAATGCATTGAAAGGCTTTTGAAACCCTAATCACTGTTCAATCCCAGAAATTTTGTTACTATTTGAGCATCTGGGAAAAGTAGGGGTCTTGTAAAACACACTCTTTGGAATCTTTTATGCACACGTTTTGAAAGAAGATGTAGGTTTAGAGTTTATTTTCATCTCTCAACACGGTGAAAAACTAAAAATACAAAAATTAGTTTTTAATAAAATAATTAAAATTTTGTTCCAAGCTTTTATATTTCTAAAACTTACTCTGATGCGAGCTTTGAGGTGTTTAAATGCTCTTCTAGATCTTGCTTATTTTTGCCAAATTATTCTCCAATGGTTTTGAATAGCTTGAAGATTTCAGGATTGCTGTGCTCAAGGTTATCTTGCTAAGCTCCTGGATATCTTTACATCTTAGGAGTTTCATATAGAATTAATCCTAAACAGTTTCTCTTTAGTAATCTTTAAACTCTTTATCAAAAGTTTCTTTTTAATAAATTGTACTCCTTCTAACCTTATTAAGATCTGATGTTGGTTTAGATCTTGGATTAGTTTTGACTGGTTTAGCTCCAGGTAGGGCTTTCAGCTAACTCCAGGTTCAGGTTCTACTCCGGAGGAGGTTTATTTTCAGGTATAAATCAGGGTTGGATAATCTCAGGTTCAGCTCCAGGTAGAGTTAACACTGGGCTCTGGTTCTAAGGTTACTTTCAGGACAGGTTCTGCTCTGGTACAGGTTCTAAAGTGGATGAACTTTCAGTTTTGTACTTTACTTTAGAGCAACCTTTAAATTTTTATCCTACCTAGTTGGGGTCAGGGGTGAGCCTTATCACAATCTTCTAAGTTTCACATATCTTGAACTTCAGGTTTGGTTCTTGTTTCTCAGTATCCACGTTAATAAATCTTGGATCTGCAGGTTGGTTTACTCTTGTATCAGGTCTACAGAAATTTACAGTTAAATATGGACCAACATATATAATAGTTATCAAATACCTCCTTTCCTTCAGACAAGTCTGATTGTTCTCTGGATGACTTTTCTTCTTTATCTTCAAAAAATCTGGTTCTTTATCCTCAGAAAGCTTCTTCTTTCTGTTGATAATCCTACAATAGTACTTATGTAGGGAACATGCTACTGGCTGATTTAATTAATCTTTTACCTCAAGATTGGTTTTATCAACTTAACACTCCTCCATATATCTTCTTTAACTGTATTCACCTTCTAAATATATTGAACTTGACTTGGGTCTTGATCTCCAATTATGATTTTCTATACCTTTCTAGAGATGGGAAGAGTTGAAGAGAAGCTTAGACTTTTTCTCCTTAATCTCCCATTATTCTGCAACAATATTCGTTTGCAGGACCACTTCGAGTTTTTTCATAAAAGCTTGGAACATTACAATAAAATTGGTAAATTTAAATTAAAACCAAACACTTAAAACATTTTTCTTTCTTTTTATAAAATATACAATAGATCAGCCATTTTAATCAAAACACATATATCTATTTGCTGTCATATATTCATTAGATAGACTTCTAAGCTTGAAGTTTATTTTGAGTTGAAATTGTCCATCCTTGAATCTTATTTTCATCTTGTTCTGGTTCCTGCAGTCTGATCCTTAAATAGTTAAAGGTTTTACAATCACCCTCTTTCTGAGGCAATGTATACTATATACCAAATCATAATCAATATTCCTGATCAAAGCATTAATTAAGAACTAAACTGGATGAGGAATGATCAAGCTTGTGATACTCTTGGTTCAGATTATGAAGATATCAAAGTAGATCCAGATATAGTCATGGATCAATTCTCATCAGACTGTCCAGGAATTCAAAATAATAAAGAAGGGACAGAGCAGATAACCTCAGGTATTGCCATATTTTTTATTTGATTTCCACGGAATGACGGTTGATCTTTTATTGAATTATTTATTTAGATATTTATTTATTTATTTATTTATTTATTCAATTAGTTATTTAATTTAAAGTGTAAAAAGATTTGTTTTTAGAATTTGGAAAACTGCTACCCATAGATCAAGAGGAGAATGCCTCAATTCTGTTCGAGAGAGAAAGGGAGAGAAAAAGGTATTTTTTCAAATATAGACACATTTAAGTCAATCCAAAGTAAAGATTGCCTGAAATAATGAAATTATTAATATTATAATCTAATCAATTAATCAAGTCATCAATTAATCAATAAATTATGTGTCAATCAATCCAATCCAAATGCTTTAAATTCCTTTCTTCTAATCAATCTGTTCAAACTAGAAATTCAAGAAGGTTAATTAAGTTTAGAAAAGGTTAAAGGGACTTAAGCGTAATTTTAGGTGACCCCATTTGCAGAGATGTCGATTCCCGCTTCACGACGGTACCCTTAAAAGAGTTCTGAATTATTATCAGTGTTTATAATTTCGAAAGTTCTAAGAACATTTTCAAAGAGTTCTCTATAAAAGTGAGTTCTCAAAAAAAGTTCATAGGAAAATATACAAAAATTATCAGATTTTAACACTATATTAAACATAGTAAACGGAAAAATATTAATCAAATATTTTGCATGGAGGGTTTCTTGAAATTACACTTACAGTTCCTTTAATAGGTAAAATGTAAAAAACAAACATATTGCATATTCATCTTTTTCTTGGTCGGTATTTTGTCTCGCCGCGCTGGTTTAGCCAAGTGTGCATGGTGCTCCGTTGTTTGTATGGTAATAAAGTAAATATATTAAAGGGATTTTTACCCTCATTTTCAAGAACTAAAGATTGCCTGATCCTAATCACCACAATGACCACAAAAACTATGAAAAAGTGTGGCAACTGTCAACTAGACATAAGGAGAAGGTCAAATTTTGCGAAAATACTGGTAAGGCTTTGTTTCCACGTAGCTCCTCTAGTTTTGATTTTATTTACAAGTATGAGAAAAGCAAATTTATCCGGTCACAAAAAGGAAATTCAAAACTATTTTTGCCTTCTCAAAAGGTCTTCAATAAGAGGAGAAATGATTGAAAATATGTAAGATTTCAATCTTGCGTGGAATTTACTCGTGGCTAAGATTGATTGATTGATTGATTGATTGATGATCGTATATTTCTATGAGCCATTACACGGGCACCTTAAACATACATTACATACTGTTATGGTTCTATAGTTAATACAAAAATAACATATGAGGTGGTAAGAAAAGCATTGTAATCTTTATATCAATAACAATGATTTTAGAACAGTTACCTCCGTGAGTGAAGGTAAAATACGTTTGAGAGCACCCAACTGGTCCGACCAGCAGTCAGCCTGCCTAAAGGGTATGTTCAATGTTCACAATTGTTAAAATCCATTCTTCAAATTTGGATTAAAGGAGCTAAAAGCTGGTCCCTTTGCCTAGTTGCATTCCAAATTTGTTTAGGGGAAGAAGGTCCCCCCGTTTTTCAGGGAAGGCACGTCCGCTAATGTTCCAGGGGGATGTTTCTTTCCCCCTCCACTATGCCGCCTCTGGATATGCTTTATCTATTTTGATTAACAATGCAACTTATGAATATTTTTTAGATTTTCTACAAAAAATAAATAATATAAATACCGATATTGAAAATAAAAACTAATTTTGATTATAAAATCACTAAATCCATATTCATGTTTATTTGTTGACTTAAATTTCTGAGTAAATATGCATAAAATAAGCACAAATTTAATGAATTTAAATTCTCATATTATTTATTTACTTAGATCTGATTATGACCTTGGATGGAGGGAGTATCTACACCACTCTTCTTTCCTATAATAAAACCAAGAATGGGAAGGAGAGAAAGATGAGGTAAAAAGAGATAATATCTCAATTTAAAAAAAATTTAAAAAGGTGTACATTGTATAAGAATACTAGCTTGGCAACCCGGCTTTGACCGGAAACTAAAATTTCCATAAAAAAAAAAACAGTTCACTCCATTCAAAAAATGTTAACCAAACTATAAACACTCGATCATGGTTTTACCGAGTTCCCCAATCAAAATTTGAGGCAAATCGGCGAAGGGGTTTTTGAGTTATGATCGGTTAAAATGCCATTTTCCCTCTTCAGTCACCACCCTGCTGAATGATTAAAGTAAATGTTTTTCAGAAATGTATTTTTATGTTTTTCATGTTTTACTATACTCGATCAATGTTTATTTTTAATCCTTGTAGAGCTTGGGATAGAGTGTATAGAGAATTCACAAAAATCCCTGGAAATAAAGTGTTTAAACTGAAGCACCTCTTTTGCAAATTCAAAAACTTCAAAAAGGAGGTAAATCATTTGTTCTAACATTTTCTAGGTTGTTAATTTTTCTATAGTTATCAAAGGAATTGTAAGCGTAATTTCAAATTATTCTCCATGCAAAGATGACAATGCCCGATTCACAACGCTACCCATTAAAGTGTTGTCTGATTAACTATGAATTAGATATTAAAGTTTTTAATCTTGAAAACTGAATATTTTAAATTGTGGTTTTTCTACTAAAGTGAGTTGCACATTTCCACTGCAAGAAATATCAGAGTTTAAAAAGACAATATCTTCCACTATACTGATCAGATAAAGGTTTCAAGGATATCTTCCACTAAACTGATCAGATATGGGTTTCAAGGATATCTTTCACTAAACTGATCAGATAAAGGTTTCAAGGATATCTTTCACTAAACTGATCAGATATGGGTTTCAAGGATATCTTCCGCTATACTGATCAGATAAAGCTATCGCCATTTATTATTTTGTTTCTAGTTAGTAGAAGAGGGAGGATTCCAGGCAGTTCAGGCAGTTCAAGCAGTTCAGGCAGCTCAGGCAGTTCATGCAGATGGTTCACCTCACTACCCTTCCAATGGTAAGGAAAAAGAATTACTAACATAGCTAGAATTACTCAACTACTCATGCGTTGTTTAAATTAACTTAATTCACTGAATGATGGTTGATAAGTTATGATTATTATACAATATAACACGTTTGTATATACATAGTTGCCCCCTTTTCTTAAATTTAAGATTTGGCTTAAAAACAGCAATTCGTTCTTAATGTTCTTAATTTTCGGGGGGGGGGGGGAAGTTCTTTAACTTTTTTAATGTTCTTAAATCTTTTTTCATCTCAAATTTTTTTTTCAACATTTTCTCATAAACTAGATTAATGATTCAGTTATTGTTTTACTATCACTTCTTTTTTGGGGGGCAAGAAGCAACTTGTAATAAAACTTAAGATCAGATTTATCATGATTAAACTAGATTAATGATCCAGTTATTGTTTTACTATCACTTCTTTTTTTGTTCCTTTGGATTATATTTTGTTTGTCGGTCTCAACGTGAAACAGTTGAAATTAAACAAAAGTGTATTAATTACAGGAAATAAATTGCTTATTGTTGAAATGAACGATTTTAGTGGAAATGAATACTTACCCAGTACCCAGTATCAACTAATATTAGAACATTTTTCATATAATCCAGGACTAGACTGGATGGGAAGTGATCAAGGTTGTGATACTCTTGGTTCAGATGACATTGAAGAAGATGTTAAAGTAGTTCCTGAGATAGTCTTGGATCAGTTTTCTCCAGATTGTTCTGAAATTAAGAATGAAGAAGAACTATTAGATCAAAGTGTTTCAGGTAATTACTATATCTTTTCTTTTTTTTACTCGTGAATGGAAAAGATGATGTTGTAGAGAATGCAAATCTCCGAAAAGGTAAAATAAAATCCGGAAGTTAGCATACTAAATTCCAAAAGAGAAGCCATACTCATCTTTCTTATATAAGGCCATTTATCTAGTATGCAATGAATGTACTTTCAAAAATTCCAGAATTAAAGTAATGATAATTGATAATCATATTGATATTTTAAAAATATGATTGGTCACTACTTGCAGATCAAGAGGAGAACGCCTCAATCTTATTAGATGGAGAGACATGTGGGAAAAGGTATGTATTATTAAAATAATGTATTTATAAGATATAAAATATAGACAACAGGAGATGTAAGATAAGATATTGTGGCGGACCTAAAGGACAAGTACTCAAGTTCAAGTAACGATTCTAACTGAGGGGAAATTGTTGGAGATGCCAAACTGTGCATTGTAGGAAAAAAAGAAAAAAATTCACACTCAAATATAAAGATATTTAAATCTGTTTATTGAGAGTTCATGTATGTAGACGCAAAATTATACATAATTATAATTTTAGACTGATAAATTCCAAGAGTAAAGGTGGGAAACCTTTAAGGGCTCCGAATTGGTCTGACCAGCAGCTAGCCTGCTTACAGGGTATGTTTTATATATTTGATTAGTCATTACTTAACAACTTTACAAGCTCTGATATCATTCAAATAATTGGAAGCTTCAAAACACAATGATCTGATAAATCAAGATTGATGCCTTGAACAAATTTATTGTGGAATCCCAAACAGATTGTCAAAGTTGTAATTTCAACTGACTTTCAATTTAAGGAGAGCATGCCTGATTCACTACGGTACCCTTTATACCTTTTTCTGCAATCAATATGGAAAATGCTGTCGTTGTTTTAGCATGAAAAGTGTTTAATTTTGACTATTTCCGCCATTACTTTTGTAATAGATACTTCCGACTCCGATTCAATTTTTGAGTAACCACAATTGAAAATGATCACTTTTTAAAGAAAGAATGATGCATTCTTGATTAGTCAAAGCGTTCTGGTGCCGTTGTGAATCCGTCTACATTCCCTTTAACTGCACTGTAAAGCGTAAATGGTCCGATAAGACATTTACTATTTACAGAATAATATTTTTTTATGAATTTAATTTCTCTTGTCATTGAGTCATTTTAAGGTTTGATAAAGACCCTGGATGGGGGTAACATCTACACCACTATTCTTTTCGACGATTTTACCAATGCGGGCAACCATAAAAAAAAGAGGTATTTTATGTTAAATTTATAAATGAGATATTTTTCTCTTAAAGAGAAAATCCACACCACTTGGCAAATAATGAGTTTCTTTAAATAAATATTGTCTCTTTTTTAATTCAGTTTTAATCCTTTAAAAATACAAAATGGTGATGATTATAAGATTAAGTAACCATTTTTATAGGGGGGGGGGGAGGGGGAGTTTTTGTTTTGTTTTTAAGTGTTAATTCTATTTAGAGCTTGGTATAGGGTGCATGAAGAGTTCACAAAAGTCCCTGGAAATGAAATGTTTGAAGTGGAACATCTCATCAGCAAATTCAAGAACTATAGGAATTCAACAAAGGAGGTAAACATTGTATTCAAACAGTGTAAAGTTGAAAAACAAGCTTTTAAATTTTTCAATTTGTTTTTATGATTTATGATTTTAACCGAAAAACGCTGGCTTTCGATATTTTGTATTTTACATGTGAAAAGTAACAAATATCAGACTTTTTCTTTCTGGTGTTGGCTTAAGTAACACACAAGTCACTTTCTAGTATTGGCCTAAGTAACACACAAGTCACTTTCTAGTATTGGCTTAAGTAACACACAAGTCACTTTCTGGTATTGGCTTTAGTAACACACAAGTCACGTTCTAGTATTGGCTGAAGTTACACACAGGTCACTTTCTGGTATTGGCTTAAGTAACACACAAGTCACTTTCTGGTATTGGCTTAAGTAACACACAAGTCACTTTCTGGTATTGGCTTAAGTAACACACAAGTCACGTTCTAGTATTGGCTGAAGTTACACACAGGTCACTTTCTGGTATTGGCTTAAGTAACACACAAGTCACTTTCTGGTATTGGCTTAAGTAACACACACGTCACTTTCTGTTATTGGCTTAAGTAACACACAAGTCACTTTCTGGTATTGGCTTAAGTAGCACACAAGTCACTTTCTGGTATTGGCTTAAGTAACACACAAGTCACTTTCTGGTATTGGCTTTAGTCACAAGTCACTTTCTAGTATTGGCTTAAGTAACACACAAGTCACTTTCTAGAAAAGTTGCTCAAGAACTGTTTAACCCAGAATTTTGGAGACATCGAAAGAATAAATAACATGTGGTTTAAGGTTTTCTATACCTACTTATAATGGAATGTTGCAGATATTTAGTCATTTAATTGAATAATTATATGGAACTGTTCTCGTGTATTTTATTATAGTTTTATTTTTATTTTTACGATATCTGAGAATGAGATTTAGGTATAAAAGTATACAATCTATTGAAAAATTGTCAAGACGACATTTTAAAATGTTTTTCTATTCCTCCGAAGTTTTGTGTTAAACTTTTTTATTTTGTTCCTAGATATCAGATAAGAAAAGGTATTTGTCAGCCCAAGCAGGAGTGCCAACAAACTCTCTTCCTAGTGGTAAGCATATACAATATATATATACTGACTTTAAGCGCATCCAGACCAGGGGCGTAGTGGAGGTTTAGCCTAGGGGGGTGAACTTTTGGGAAAAACACAAATTTTGTGCCCCCCCCATAACGGTTGATGTAAACCCGTATTAAGAAAAAAAATTAAAGCTTAAAATCTATATTAATCTACCTGATTATCAGAAATTTGACCATAAAATTAAATCATTATAAAATCTAGTAGTAAAAGAGCAAAAAACTTAAAACTTTTTTGAGTATATCATATACCATAAATCATATCAATATCAATCATATTATGACTATATTGCACTGGAGACAGTATTATTTAAATAGATAAAACTCTGCGTCAAACATCTTGCTCTAAGTCCTCTGAGAGACTGAAATGGATTTTAAATGAAAACCTGCGAAAAAAATATTGTAAATAAGATTAAGAATTTGAGAGATTGTCATAAAATGGGCAAATTGTGACCTTGTCAATTGATAAGAAAAGAAAAAATTCTAAATAAATATGAAAGTTTAATATATTAGAGCTCTAGGGGGCCTATGGGGTGCGCATGTCTAGAGGGTGCACAGGGGTCCCGGCCCCCCACTACGCCCCTTATTCAGGCTACATTACAATACTTTATTATTGGAACTGCTAATCTATTGGTCTTCTTAAAGAGACTTTGGTTTTTATTTCCCAATTCGCAATTGAACCTTTATATGACAAAAGATTTGAAATTATTGACGTTTTTCTAGCTTGAGAGATGATACCGTTTTGAAACGGACATAAAATCGTGATTTTTTTTTAGCTTTACATTTATGAAGAATTGTTAACTGCAATATAGTTTGACCCTATAACAATAATGAAAATATTATAATTATTTAATTCAAGAATTGGAAATTCGGCCGCGGCTTGAGCTATTGACCAATAATGTTACCCGTGAAACAAATAGTGTAAATTCAGGAGTGGAACTGGAGGAACCTCCACAGTTTTCGAAGGAACAATCTAGGTTATTTATAGGTAAGTTTGATGTATTTACTGTGATTACTTTTTAATTATTAAATTTACTCAATAACTACACATTAAATTACTTTTTAATTCCTAAAAAAAATGTTTACTACCTTTGCATTTAATTACTTATTAATTACTACATTTTCTAATACCTTCGCATTTAATTACTTTATAATTACTACATTTTCTAATACCTTTGCATTTAATTACTTATTAATTACTACAGTTTCTAATACTTATGTTTTTAGTTACTTTTTTGATTACTTTGATTACTCAATACCTGCGCATTTTAGAAATAGTTGAAAGTGTGAACAAAAAAGACATAATAGATTCTCCCATCAATACAGCAGCTATGAAAAAGAAGAAGATTGAGTAAGTGAAAAAGTAAAGTTAAAGGGACAGTAAAGGAAAAATGAAAGGGGGTACAGGCTGAAAGCTAATCACTTTAGCTCTTGATCGCGGCCCATTAAAGTTTTATCTGATGTTCCTGTCACGAGAAATTGATATACAACTGTGTTAAAATTATACGAAAATTCATATATGTAAAATTTTGAAAATCTGAAACTTAAATCACGAGACCAGAACTATCACCAATGGCAGAGCAGTATACTGGTCACGTGTCTCCGCCTGTATCACGTGACCACTTTACTGCACTGCCATTGGTGGAATTTCTGGTCAAGTAATACGGACGTAAAAATAATATTATGAATGAAATCTATTGAAAATAGAAACAACAAATATAAAAGTAAACCTAAATTACAATTAGCTTTCTCTGGGATATCATCGTTTTCAGATTGGTTGCTTATTTGCTGAATATGATCTGTTTAAACCTACTACTTTTATACAAAATTGTATATATATTAATTTTCGTATAAATTTGACACAGTTTTATATCAATTTCTCGAGACAGGAACATCAGATATGACTTTCATGGGTCGCGATCAAGAGCTAAAGTGATTAGCTTTCAGACTATACCCCCTTTCATTTTTCCTTTACTGTCCCTTTAAATCCTGCTTTTAAAAAAAATATTCCAACAATGAACATGTTACTTGAAAACAGTTAAAATTAGAAATGATAAGTATTTTGCTTGAAAGCTCAAGAATTTGGTTTACTGTAAACAATACTGATGCCTCTTTCCATGAACTGAGTTCTTGCAACAAACTAAAATCTAAGGTTTTAGCTGTGTGATAATAATTTATATTTCAGGGTTTGGAGAAATATTCATGCTCAGTTTGAAGAAAGATCTGGTTGCAACTTATTCAGTATTCAGAACCTTATAGGTTTCAATGGCATTCAAGCAACCATCTATCTTATATCTTTTTTAAAAAAATTTCTCCACCGGCAACGCCGGACCCTGCAGCTAGTTTTCTATGTAATATATAACAAGACATTTATATATATATATGCTTCCTATAGCCGGCCAAACGGATGGACTATTTGGGCTGAAATTTTTTGTGGACACTCCGGGGGGTGTCATATTCTGAAATAAAAAATTCAAAATGGTTGTTTTTTTTTCAAAAAAAAATTTGGCGTGCAACGCCGGGCCCTTTAGCTAGTCTGTTTGAGACTGTTTGTTTGTATCCAATAAACGTCAAAACGGCTGAACCCATCAGGCCCAAATATTGTGTGGGACCTTTATTTTCATTAAACTTTTGAAAATTTAGAAAATCCACAAAATGGTTTTTATGAAATCCGCGAACATGTTCACAATTGAAATAGAAGATGGACGCGAAGCGCCCTAAAAGCCTATTTTTTTTTTATAAAATAGGGACTTGTTTTTGTACATACATGTTTGAACATTTTAAGATAAACTCATTTAAACTAAAATAAGTTTAGGGACAACCTTGGTGATTTTACCACAAACTCGAATTTTATAAGTCTTTTATCATTTTAACCTGAAATTTCAAACTAAGATTATTGAATCGATAGAATTCAATAGAACAGTTATAAATATCAAAGGTCTACACTCAACATTAGTTTTCAAAGATATAGGAAAAAACTAGTTAGACTTTATTTGTTCAATTCCTTTCTTATAATTTTCAAATTTAGATCTTGCAAGGTGCAATGCCATTGTTATTTCAGGCGAATATAGAAATCTTTTATTTTACCGGAAGGAGGTATTAAATAGATGTGTTTTAATAAATAACATTATTTGTATATTTACTGTAAATTAAAAAAATTTTATCTTTTAGCGTTTTTAATGGTTAAAAGCGTTCTTTTTAAAGGATTCGAATTCTGGTGAATCTGGAAATTCATCCCTACATATTTTACAAGAACATCAATACTCGGTAAACCAGATTTCTAAAAATTCGATTTTGTATTTTCGTATATCCTTATGCAATTAAAAAAAAAAATTTTGTTGTTAATCACAATGTCAAGCCCATAATTCTTCCCTAATTTAGTAAATTCATCTTGAGGTCGATATGTTGTTGGTAGGATGTCCTTAACACTCTGATTTGATTTGATTTGTTGCATATATTTGTTCAGCTAGAGAAATCAGTAATAACAATAATAATAATAAAAATAATGATAATAATGATATTAATGATAACAATGATAACAATGATAACAATGATAATAATGATAATAATGATAACAATGATAACAATGATAACAATGATAACAATGATAATAATAATAATAATGATAATAAAGATACTAATGATAATGATAATAATGGTAATAATAATAATGATAATAAGGATGATTAAAAAGATCATTTTAATAATAAAAATAAATTCAGGTTCAGGAAAAACATGTTCCACGTTTGTTTCCTTCTCATTTAAAATCTTAAAAGTATGAAAATCCATCCTGAAAAATAGATCCAGAGATGCTGAATCTACCTTAGATTTGAATAATTTTGAAATTTTCAAATTAAGAATAATGGAAAGTGCACAATGATTTGATATGCATAAATGTAAGATAAGATAAGATAAGTGAAGGATCTTGGAGAGTCCAGACCGCCACGGGGCTAGCACCCATTTAAGAACCATATACCTTTTACTGACATTTTTTTGTTGGATTAATTTGTAATTCTAGAAATCAGAGGAGAGTAGAATTACAATAGCACAGTCGGGTGTGACACCTCCTCTTTGCATAGGTAAGCATTAATATACTGGCTTTAGTTAAATATTTATTATGTTAAAACTTATTCTAATATCTCAATTATGCTTGATTTGTGGTTCATAAGAAGTAATATCATAGACTGACTTTTAAGTGATGTGTATTGTGCATTTCATAACAACTTTTGTATGCTTTTTTAAAGAGAGATGGCGTTTTCCCTGAAAAAAATTATGATTTTTACTGTTGACTAAGATGAATTTAATTATAGTTAAAAATTATTTTAATTTATAAGAAAGGCATGTTGATAATAAAAATAATAATAATAATTATAAGAATAATTATGAAAATATTGAATATTATAATTATATAATAATAATAATGATAATCTGTTTAAAATAATAATGAAAAGAAGAATAATGATATTTTCAGTTAACCTTCAACCCTTGAATATGGATACTGGGAGCATGGGCTCAATGGTGGGACTAGGAGTGACCCCTCCACAGTTTACACAGGAACAATCAAGATTATTCCTTGGTAAGTGTGATAATGTTCCCTAATGGGACTGTAAACGTAATGTAAGTAACCCTCCATGCAATACAACAGTATCCTTGAAACCTTAATCTCATCAAAAATGTTGAAGATAACTCGAAAAGTATTTTCCACATTGTTGTTTACAAGCAAGAGACCAAGAATGAAACCAAGCAGTTTAAATAATCGAAAACCTGCATATCTAATCCATATTTGATGAGACAAAGCATTTAAGGGAGCCATTGTAAATCGGGCATTGCCATCTTTGCATGGAGGGTCACTTGAAATTTTGCTTACAGTCCCATTAAACACTCAAACTGAGGTTACTTTAATTACTCAATACCTACGCATTTTAGAAATAGTTGAGAGTGTGAACAAAAAAGAGATAATAGATTCTCCTGTTAACACGGCAGCTATGAAGAAGAAGAAGATTGAGTGAGTTATTAAATAAAAGAATAAATGAATTTAAATTGTTTATTATTTCTGTTTATTTCATTTTACCTTGTCAGAATCTTATTTTAGACTTGTTTTGGGTTGACTTTTATCATTTTATTCTAAATCAATTTATAAATTAAAAATATTAGAATTCTCTATACTGGTCTGGTATTGAGATGGACTCGTCTAGGTCACTATTAATGTGCAGTGTTGTGATGATGTAGTTATTGGCCTAGCCCTTGCCATGTTGATTTACACTAGACTTGTTTCAATTACCAACCGGAAATTAATTGTTCATTATTATTATTTTTTTATTAGAATTATTTTAAAACTCCAGGCAAAGCTGGATTTTCAAGATAGTTTAAATGTAATAATATTATGTTTAGGGTTTGGAGAAATATTCATTCTCAGTTTGAAGAAAGATCTGGTAGCAACTTATTCAGTATTCAGAACCTTATAGGTTTCAATGGCATTAAGAAACGGGGTTTTAAAAAGAATTTTAAAATTATTAAAAAGTGGTCTTTAAGGACCAATTGTAATTAAGCAGCTTGTTATTCTTAAAATTCCTCATAAAACATGGGATTTAAACATAAAATACTCAACAACTTATAGTTAAACTTTATTTGGAATTTTGTGGATTGTTTAATTACTTTTAATTAAATTGTTTGGTGTCCCATAAAAAGAGCTACATCAGATAAACACCTGAATGCCAGTCAGCTCAGCACAATCCAATGGTTTATGCTTGTGACCTGCAAGTAGTTGTTTGATGAAGGCTTTGTCAATATTTGACACATTGCTCATAATTTGTACAAATAAAGTTCATTTTAATATCCTCCCTTTCTGCTGTTTACATTTAAGATCCATAATCAATGTAAGATCCATAATGCTAATATGGGTTGAACAATTTGCAATTTTTTAGACTATTTTTATGGTCTTGATGGTCTTCTCCCGCCCGGACATGTCATAATCCTTCAAATACAAATGTATTCCTTCTTAACCTCATTAAACCACCATTAAAGTTTATAAAAATCGTTTTAAATTTGTTCTTGATCATGTTTAATGGTTCGGCTTGGTTTTTGCATTGTCTAAAACATTTTTTGGTTAATATTCTAGACATTCCTATGCTGTGACAATGAATCTAATCTATCTTTAGGAGAACACTTCTTACATCACAACAACAATCTGCTTGACTCCAACCTGGCCAAAAATGTATTCGTACAGATGTAGTGAACTTAAAAAAAATTAGAGCTGAGGCTTCTAGAAGTACCCATAAATTTTGTTTAGCAAAACTCATTGATCACACCTCGTATATCTCTGATAATTTTAAACGCACAATAAAGGCAGGCCATACTTTGGAATTGGCCGGACTTGGGCTATTTTGTTGTTATTATTATTGTTTCATTAATCATATTTGTAATATTATATTGTAAAGTCATCTGATTAATTATAAATTAGTTCCGGGTCTTTCTGATTATATATATTCTGTATTCTGTATAAAGTATAAAGTTTGATTAATTTGGTAAACATTTTAACATTTTCTTAAAGATATATTGTAATGCCATTGATATTTTAGGAAAATATAGAACCGTTCTATTTAAACATAAACAGGTATTTAATTAATATCTATCACTTTAGTCTAATTCAAGCAGTTAAATTTGCCTAATTAAAGTTTAAAGTTTTCATTTAAAGGATTCGAATTCTGGTGAATGTTTACAAAATAAGAAAAATATAATCATAATTCACACTTTTTTTTAACTATTTCTAATAGGGAGGCATAATCGACCTGAATACTTACTATCGTCCCATCCTGCCTAAACTTCCAGAAGAAGATCCTCAAGAGTTCCTTGATGTTCCTGTCAAGGTGGAGATACATGATGGGGATGAAGAATGTAATCCTCTTGATGCCCCTGTCAAGGATGAAGAAGATCCACTGAAGATCTTTGATAACCCTGTTAAGGGGGAGATTAATGATGAAGAAGATCCTCTACAGATCCCTTGAAATACTATGACTCATGATAAGGATGGAAGAGGTAAGATCATCTGGGGGGGGGAATTATTTTTGAATGAGGGGAATGATTTTTAACTAATTTTTAACTGATTTTCCCAAAGTAACAAATTGTAGGCCAAATGGGAATAACTTAAATTACATGGCTTTTAGCACAAGTCCCTAGCTGTCCTGACAGTTCAAATTAGTACTAGGTTGATGGACTGTCTTAGCATGGAATAGTTATAAGCTTTATACCTACTCATCCTCTTACTATTGTGCACTGCAATAGCAACATGATTTAAGTTTAATATTGGAAAGTTGGAGGAAAATTAAAACTTGATTTACATTTATCCTTTATATTTCAGGAAAAATCTTACCTCTAGAGAGCTTGGAGAAAGCGGAATATTACAGCCAAAGATAAAACCTATAAAGTTCAACATTGTCAGTTATAAACATGCAAATTAGAAGCGTTAGACCAATAAGTTGATTGTTATTGTCCTCTTATTTCTTAAAATTTCAGGTAAAAATGTTACCTTTTGAGACATTGGATAAAGCAGAACTTAACAGTGTAAGATTGGACCTTGTTCACCAACTTCAGGGATAAACATAGATATTGGGAGATTTGGATCATTTTGATCCTCAATAGCAGTGATAATATCAAAACTTAATATAAAATATAGGTATGGTGATAGTTTTCTGATTTTTTATGAATTTTATTGCTTTTTTCCAATTTCTCAGCTTTTTCCCTTTTCAGTAAACACTGCACTCCTCTTGCCTACTACATCAGTTATATTTTAGATGAATTTAACTTTAAAATCTATGTTTTATCTAGTGTTTTAATTGCTCTACTGAAGATATACAAACCCTTCGAGATATTCTCGTTGATATACTCAACCTTCAACATGGACTAGAGGATAACCTTCTTGTCATACAACAGATCCAACAAGTAGATCCGGGGACAGGAGAAGATTATAAAGAGCTGGCTCTAAATACAGCTAGGCAGCATATTATAGATATTAATTCAGTTTATCAACAAGGACTAGACTGGCTCAGAAATGACCAAGCTTGTGATACACTTGGTTCAGATAATATCAATGAAGATATTAAAATTGAAATCAAAGAAGTTCCTGGTCTGGACTTTGATGAATTGCCCTCAAACTGCTCTGAAATTAAGAATAATGTAGTACTAACACCAAGAACCAATTCAGGTAATTTGCATAATTTCTTCAATTTCTCCTTGTTGCAGAAACATGGAATGTAGATGAGAAAAAAAAGTAAAAGAAACCGTCTCCTAATCACATATTAGACTGTTCATGTGTTTTTGTTATTAATATCCAGCCAGGCATTTGATAGTTTCAGATAGTGAAGTATTAATGCAACTAAAATAGCATTGTTTCATTAATAATCATTTCAAATGATTCAATGAGTATTGTGAAGTTATTAGCTATTTAAAAAAAAATTATAACAAGCTTCTCTCTAGCTAAATCTATATCATGACAAAGATTCAATAATCAAAACAAGTTATGAAAAGTTTTGTTCTTTCAACACCAAAATGTAAGTATTCAAATAAACTGATAACTTGATTTAAGTATTTGATTGCAAGCAATCATGTTTCGACACTTTACATCTGCTGATTTAGATAATTCTGCATTTTTAAAAATATATTAGGAAGGATTTTAAAATTTAACATTTTTAGAGAAACAACATTGAGACTAATTGATATTCAAAAATGAATAAATCATCAAAGTTGCAGGACAATAAAATAAAAGATCAAATTTTACAATTTACTGATGTAGCTCGGGCAGTGACACCAAATCAAAATAAAGGTTAATCTCAAACCCAAACCCCTAGGCTGTCTTTAAAGGTTAATCTCAAACCCAAACCCCTAGGCTGTCTTTAAAGGTTAATCTCAAACCCAAACCCCTAGGCTGTCTTTAAGAACCATTTACAACCTTGCAATCTGTAGCCTCAAGACCAAACCAGACTTAAGCACCAATCTGTCCACAACTATCTATAATCTCTGACAAATTCCAATGAATACCTAGTCATCTATGGAGTTTCCCCTGAAATATTGCATCTTTTAAATGATTGCCTAGATGTCTTGATTTATTTTGGTATTTTTTAGAATATGATAATCTGCTTCCAATAGATCACGAGGGTATTGTCTCAAACTTAAGTGAAAAGAATCAACAAAGGTACACACATATTAATGTTAATGTAATAATCTTGAATCAAAAAATTGAACAGTAGACACTGGTTTGAGGTGTCAGCTTAAGATACTTGTCCCTTGTCGTCAAATCCATATCTCAATATGTTGTCTTTGAACATGATTGACTTTTAGAGCGATGAGTGATGGCAGAAAAACTGGTAGAGGCCCAAACTGGTCAGATCTGCAGACAGCCTGTTTTAAAAGTATTCATATTTGTTGGTTTTTATTTTAAATTTCAAAAGTAACCAATTGATATTTGTAATTTTATATACTATACGATGGAGTATCATTGAAATATGTTCTCTCTGTTCAGGTTTAATTACAACCTTGGATGGGGGTGATATTTGCAATGCTATTCTTTCAACCAATATGACCAAGGAGGGGAAAGAGAAGAAGAAGAGGTAAGTGTTGTTATCAACGCTGCCTCAGTTGTTTTGGTATCCCACTTATCAAGATTGTTAGCCAACAGTACCATTGTACCAGTCTTGAACTTGATCAAAACAATGTGCCAAGAATAGTATTAAAATTGTGGATTTTACTATACTCTATAAGCACAGAAGTTAAAAAGGAGATAGTTTATAGTTGAAATCAAAAATTTGAAAAATTGCAGGGCTCAAATGTTAAGTGTTCAATCATTTTAAATTCTCATGTAAAAGATCATGTAAAAATTTTCTAAAGAGAAGGGCAAATCAGTTTCTTTTAAAGTAAATTAAAACTTAGATGATGATATTTTTAGAGCTTGGGGTCGGGTGTTAAGGAAGTTCAGAAAAATCCCTGGAAATGAGCATTTTGAACTAAAGCATCTTGCTTCAAAATTCAAAAATCTTAAGAATCGCAACAAGGAGGTATATGTTTTTTTCTTTCTCTGGGAGGTTGCTTCACCACCTATTTATCAAATTATGTTATTGTTTTTAAAGTGAAAAATCAATGATTAGTTTTTTCAACGATGAGTTAAGTTAAGAGCTGTTTATTCATATTGGTTTTGGATTCTCAAACAGAACTGTCAAATTCCTATCCAACAAATTATGTTATCAAATCATCTAGCAAAATATTTATCTACATTTTTCACTGACATTTTTTACTGATATTTTAATCTGATATTGATGGGAGTCAAAATATTTTTGGAGTTCTTGTAAACTTAAAACCAGCACCATATGATTACATTGACAACAATCTACTACACTCAAAGGACTTAAATGTAGGTTTCCCCTTCATACACAAAAAGTTCTCTGATTTATTATTTTGTTTCTAGTTTCCTGAAGAGAGAATGTTTCAAGCAGTTCAAGCAGATGGTTCACCATACTCACCTTCCAACGGTAAGTCCAAAAGAAGTGGAGATGCCCATGCATCTTCCCTAGAAAATTTGGTGTGCCAGGAAGTTGGAAGAATACCTAATCTCTTCTGGCATCTTTAATTTGTATTGCCGACCTGGATAACTGATAATTTAAGTTTCCAACTATTATTTCTGATAATAACTTTTAATTAAGGGCTGGAGTGGATGAAAAATGATCAATCTTGTGATGCTCTTGGTTCAGAAGAATATATTAAAGTAGTTCCTGATCTGGATTTTGATCAAATCTCCTCGGATGAGGAAGAAATAACAGAACAAGGAATTGCAGGTATAAACTATATTTGTTCTTTGTCTATTTGGCGGAAACTAAGATGTTAAGAAGAACGCACTATGATGGTAACATGGATATTTAATCCTAAATTGTGTTTTCAAATGCCCTTGTCTATCTCTGAAAAATTGGACGATTTCAATGAATACCAAGTTCTCTATAAAGTTTCCCCTAAAATATTGAAATCTCATAATCTATATATAAATTTGGCTTGTCTGTTTGTCTGTCTGTCTGTCTGTCTGTTTGTATCCAATAAACGTCAAAACGGCTGAACCGATCGGGCCCAAATTTTTTGTGGGACATCTAGGGACTCCAGGGAAGGTTTATGAATCATCAAAATTTCAAATATTTGTCTCCATCAAAATTCGATCATCATTAAATTTTTTAAAATTTTGAAAATCCGCGAAATTTTTTGTGAAAATCCGCGAATTATTTTTGTTTTGTTTTACGATGTACACAAAGAGAACATGTTCACAATTACTTTAGGAGATGGGCGCGAAGCGCCCTCTAAGGCTAGAAAGAAGGGCGCGAAGCGCCTTGAATTTCTAGTCTTTTTATATTTTGCTGTTTTTACTTTTTAGAGCATGATAATCTGGTTCCAGTAGATGATGAGGGGAATGTGTCAAACCCAAGGGAAAAGAATCAACAAAGGTACAGAAATTCTAATTTAATAATTATGAATCCAAAAATTAAATAATACGCACTGCTTTAAAAACACAGCTTAAGATACTCATTCTTGTCTCAAATCTATATCTTAAGACGCCTTTGAACATGATTAACTTTTAGAGTGGCGAGTGATGGCAGAAGACATTGTAGAGGTTCAAACTGGTCAAATCATCAGACAGCCTGTTTTAAAAGTAATAATTATTTGTTGATTTTGATTTTAAAAAGAGTAACCAAATGATACTTGTAATTTTATGTACAACGGAATGTCGTTGAAATGTGTTCTCATTGTTCAGGTTTGATTACAACCTTGGATGGGGGTGATATTTACAATGCTATTCTTTCAATGGATATGACCAAGGAGGGGAAAGAGAGGAAGAAGAGGTAAGTGTTGTTATCAAAACTACTCAGTTGTTTTGGAATCCCACTTTTCAAAATAGCCAACAGAATCATTGAACAGGTCTTGAACTTGATCAAAACAATATGGCAATTAAGCATTGGATTAGTCATAGTGGAGTTTGCTGTAAGACTATATAAAGAAGCATTAACAATATATGTTCAAGCAGTTTAACTCTTTATTTAAAATGATCCTGTAAAATTCTTCTACAGAGCAGGGCAAATCAGTTTCGTTGAATTGAAAGTATTTTTGAACTGATAATAATAATTCTAGGGCTTGGGATCGGGTGTTAAGGAAGTTCAGAAAAATCCCTGGAAATGAGGATTTTGAACTCAAGCATCTACTTTCAAAATACAAAAACCTTAAGAATCGGAACAAACAGGTAAATGTTTTTTCTCTCTCTGGGAGGTTGTAAACTTTTAACATAATCACATAACTATCAAATTACATTGCAATTGGTGATTCAGGTTTCATCCTCTTCTTCTAAAATGCAGAGTACTGTAGGTATAAACAGCTGCAAATGGATATTTAGTTTGTAAATTTACCATACGTCCATGGACCCTCATGAAACTTTTACGATCCACCAAGAGAGTAAATTTGAAAACAATCTGCTTAAATTAAGGGACTTATATGTAATATGTTTGTGGCATGTTCCCCCTTAATACAGTATAAGTTCTCTAATTTAATATTTTATTTCTAGTTACAAGAGAAGTTAAAGTTTCAAGCAGATGATTTACCTCACTCACCTTCCAGTGGTAAGTCCAAAGAAAAAGAAGATGACCCCCTGTAAGGTTTGGAGGGAGCACTCAATCTCCCCTTGCTTCTAAAACTTGTATTGCCTACTTAGCGCTATAATCAATGGATAACTGTTAACTTAAGTTTTCAACTAATATGTCTGATAATAAAGTTTAATCAAGGGCTAGAATGGATGAGAAATGATCAATCTTGTGATACTCATGATGCAGAAGAAGATTTCAAAGTAGCACTTGACGTGGACTTAAATCAAATCCCCTCCGATAATGAAGAAATAACAGAAAAATGTATTACAGGTAATTAGTATTTATCTTAATGTGGTTAAAAAAGAAGTTTTAAAGGAAGATATAGGAAGGGGGAAGGAGTAGAAATTGTCTATTTTAGAGAACCTTCCTGTAAATCATAACATTTGGTAATATTTTCCCATGTTGTGGACTTAACAACTACCCATAAGGTTTCCCATGAAATATTGCTCACTGACATATGAACAGTGTAACTTGTCAGATGTTTTAATTAATGTTTTTTAGACTATGATAATCTGGTTCCAATAGGTCATGAAGGAAATTTGTCAAACATAATCAAAAAGAATCAACAAAGGTACACACTACACACATATCAATGTTAATCTTAATGTTAATTTGATAGTAGACACTGCTTTGAGAAGTTATAAAATACATATTTAAAAATATGATCTTCAGTCTGCTAATATTAAACAACTTTTAAGAGTTGTGAGTGGAAGGAGAAAAGGTCGGAGAGCCCCAAACTGGTCAGATCAACAGGCTGCCTGTCTTCAAGGTATTCACAAAATGTTGATTTTGATTTCAAATTTCAAACCGAAAGAGTAAGTGCCTAATGATATTGTTGACATGTGACAGGTATTTGAAGAGGAGTATTGTTTAAATTTATTTAGATTTGATTACGACCTTGGATGGGGGTGATGTTTACACCGCTATTCTTTCCACCAGTATGACCAAGGAGTGGCGGGAAAGAAAAAAGAGGTAATTTTTGTTTTCAATGCTCTGCAAGCATAGTATTCTAATTGTGGGTTTGACCAATGACCATGAAGGAAATGGCTTATACTTGCAATCAAATAACTGCATAAATTGTTTAGTTAAACCTCAAAAATAATCCGTTTAAATTCTACAGAAGAGAAAGGCAAACTATTTTTTAAAAAGGGACTGTAAGCATAATTTCAAGGGACCTTCCAATAAAAGAGTGGTATTTCCGATTTACAACGATACACTAGCATGGAGTGTACAGTGTACACTGTAACTTCAAGCTCCCTTCACTCATCTTCAGCTATATGAATGAGGGTATCTACCTCATCATTGTCTGGGCAAAGAATAGAAGGGTATTTTTGTGAATCTGACATGCCTCTATAATGGAAGGTTACTTGAAATGAAGCTTAAAGTCCCTTAAAGAGTTTTTTTTTGGAAAACTTTTTACCGTTGTATCTGATCCTTCTAGAGCTTGGGACACAGTGTACAGGATGTTTCGAAAAATCCCCGGAAATGAGGTTTTCAAACTCAAGCACCTTTTTTCCAAATTCAAAAACCTTAGGAATTTAAACAAAGAGGTAAATAATTTTTTCATTCAATAGGTTAAGTTGTGAACTTTTAAATCCAATTTTTAAATAAAATAGATACTTAAAGGTTAGTTTAAATGTTGTACTCTCATCTAGTAATAGCAGCTTATGATACATAATCAAATTCTGACATTGTGCATACCCATAGTGCTTTTCATTTTTCTTTCAAATTTCAGGAATAACTTCATAACCTCCTCTCGACCTATCTGATTGAATCAGGGCATGATACGTATTTTCCCTAGCCCCCTCTATTACATTATTATTCTCTTATCTATATATATACATACAGTTGCAAACTTTTTCTGCTTGCTTGTTTGTCTTTCAGTCTTTTTTCCGATCATAACTCAGAAACTTATGGACCGATTTGTCTCAAATTTTGATTGGGAAACTTGAGAGACCCACGGGAATGTTCTTAGCTTAGTTTTGAGATTCTAAGTTGAGTGAGTCGACTTTTGTTTCTCTGTAAAATTGGTAAAGGGCGGGTCAACGGCGGAGACACTTTAAGTAACCTTGGCAGCGCTGAGGTCCTAAGGTAGTTATTTATAATTTTGTTTTAGTTAATCGAGGATAGACGGTTTCAGGCAATTCAGTCAGATGGTTTATCTCACTACCCTAACAATGGTAAGCAGGATTCTTAATTGCTGGCTTTACTTGAAGTTTCTAAATTTTGAACTATCCTTGGACCGATTTTAACAAATTTGAGCTACGTCAAAAATTAAAAATTAAAATTGGTGATTCAAATTTAATCCAGTATTACCGGCCGGTCGCCCCCTTCTATAGATAACTATTTTGTTAAGTTTCAAATGTTTCTTTTGAGCTGCCTGGCTCAAATCTTGAATCACTGATTCAATGTTTAATCAAAAGATACACAGTTGAACAGTATCTACCTAGTTCAACAACTTCTTGCGATTAATGAAATCTCGTCCCAGCTATTATTTCTAAAAAGAAAATTATAGGATCTGACTGGATGATGAATGATCAATCTTCTGATACTCTTGATTCAGAAGAATATACTAAAGTAGATTCTGATCATGATATGGATCAAATCTTCACAGATGAAGAAGAAATAACAGATCAAAGTAATACAGGTTAAAAAATATTTTTTTTTATTCTTCTTTCTGTGGGAAAAAAAATGTTATAAGACATCTGAATCATAAAATATGTTAATAATTTTAGAATGTTTTCCTATTGACCAAGAGGGGAACGCTTCCAATACCTTTGATGGAAGAATGGATGGAAGGTGCGTATAAATTCTTCATTAATCAATAAACACTTGTTGTCAAACGAACAAAGATTCGACTGCTAATGGATCATTTGAAGACAGTGCATAGCTTTGCTTCTGACAATTATGATCGTTCAGGGGTTTTTCAAAAAGCCAACCCAATTCTCTTTTCTCTAAGCAGGTTGAAAAAATAATAGCAACTATTACTGCATTTTAAATCATAAATGTGGTGGGGTAAGTTGTGTGTAGTTTGAATAAATGCATAACTTCTGAATTAATCTGTTTCAATTATTAATACCTTAATTTTATCAAAATAAAAATATGTTAAGGATGGTGAACTCTGTGCGTGCAAGTGAAAAATGTCTGAGGGGACCAAACTGGTCTGACCAACAGGCAGCTTTCCTACAGGGTTTGTTTTAATTGATTTATTTTATTTTTTCGGTAAAATATTTTATGTCTACCCTTTAGAAACATCAAGTAGAGTTGCACACATGCACGCATGCACAATTTTTACTTATTTATTTCATCACTCGACAGCAATTATATTTTACAATAATATTTTTGGGGAATTCGTCAAATGTCTGTGTATTTCCTGAATATGAAAATATACCTTCATTATCTGAAAGGAATTTGGTGAATTCCCCAAAAGTTTGTAAGGTTTCCCCTTTTTTGTCACTCCCTTAATTATTTTAGGTTTGATTAAGACCCTCGATGGGGGTGACGTCTACAAAGCTATTCTCTCCACTATGAAAACCAAAGAGAATAGGAAAAGAAAAAAGAGGTAGTTTTTAACAAAAATTGTGTGTTTTTGTGCTAGCTTCTATTTGGATCCACTGTTTGCATATTCGAGAAATATACCCGTAATTGTGTTGTGTGCAGAAGGTTTTCGCTGTTGATTTTTTTAAATATTAAATTGGGAAGTAGATTTTAGAAATTTTCTATTTTTAATTAATATCAATACTTTTAGAGCTTGGGATAGGGTGTACAGGGAGTTTAGGCAAATCCCCGGAAATGAAGTTTTTAAGCTTAACCACCTTGTTTCTAAATTCAAAAACATCAGGAATTTCGGGAAGGAGGTAAATAATTTTTTCTAATTTTTCTAATATTTAAAACTGAAAGTATTAAAATAAAAAGAACTCAATAATCTTTCCCAAAAATAGTCAAATTTTTCTGAAAATCTGGGAAAGGGAGTGGAATGAATGCCTTTTACCTAAAAATAAATGTATTAACTCTTAAATCATTTTTTCGTCCTATTTTAATATTTAAAAGGTTTCCCCTTTGTGCAACCATTCTTTACAATGTAAAACCGGAAAGTGTTTTTAAGAAAATACATTCCCCTGCAATATGGGACTAAGACATGTTAAAGGAATCAAATCTTTGCCACAAACTGGAATCTTTACAACCTCATGGCGTAAATCTCTAATATTTCAAACTTAGATTTTTTAACTACCAAAATCCATAGTTTTAAATAGCTAAGATCTACAATATAAGTTTTCAACGATCCGATATAGAAATCAGAATTAAACTCTATTTCTGTTCTATTTGAAATGGAACAAAAAATGAGTCTTGTTTTTCTTCTTTAGTGTCTATGCTTGCTTTCATGGAAAAATAATTGTCAAGAATCTTAATGTTTAATTTAAAACAAAACTAAATTTGAACTTTTAAAGTATAGATGTTCAAATAGGATGTACATAAAAAAACAGTTTATATTCAAAAATGAATATTATTTTAATTGTTAATGTTCTACTAGATTTCAGACGAGAAGATATATGAAGTAGTTCAGGCGAATGTGCCACTGCCTCTCTCCCCTCACATCGGTAAGCATACCCTTGCATACCCTGCATACTCTGCATACTCTGCGTACCCTGCGTACCCTGCATACCCTGCATACCCTGCATACCCTGCGTACTCTGCATACCCTTGCATACCCTGCATACCCTGCATGCTCTGCGTACCCTGCATACCCTGCATACCCTGCATACCCTTGAATAACTTGCATACCCTTGCATACCCTGCATGCTCTGCGTACCCTTGCATACCCTGCATACCCTGCATGCTCTGCATAAGCTAATCCCTGCATACCCTGCATGCTCTGCGTACCCTGCATACTCTGCATACCCTCGCATACCCTGCATACCCTTGCATACCCTGCATGCTCTGCATAAGCTAATCCCTGCAATCCTGCATATCCTGCACCAATTCGGCAATGTATGGTAGATCTGAGATTGCAGTATTATTAAGAAATTATTTAGGATTAATTTGAGACCTATCCGGCGTTTTTACGGTACATTTGTTCAGCAGGAGCGTAAATTCAACCTTAAAAATCCTCAGATACTACATCTTTACATAACAATTGCGTATTTATTTGAAATCAAGTTAATGTTTTGCATAATACATCGCATAGATAATGAACTTTATTCAACATTTTTGCACGATTTTGCCCATGAATACAAAATTAAGTTTTTTTTTTGCACGAAATTGATTAATTTAAGTCATAACTATTGAACAATATTGCAAATTAATACAAAATTAAGTAGTATTTGTTTTATGATGTAGGGCATCAATACAAAAGATTTAAATGTTTGGATTATGAATTGAATTTCCATAGCAGCTTTTTATTCAACAACATTAGTTTTAATAATATTATTATAAAATTATTATTATTAGGTTGGATGAGGAATGATCAATCTTGTGATGCTCTTGGTTCAGAAGAACATATAAAGGTGGATCCTGATCAGGACATAGATCAATTCTCCTCGGATTGCCTGGAAAATCAGGATAATGAAGAAAGGTGTGCTTTGTAAATATTGGCGGAGTCTAAAATTGCTCTAACAATATTCTAATATCAATCAGCTGTTCCAAATATGTCCAGATTATGATTCTTCATATTTCCCCTCTCAGATGTGCAGATCTAATCGTGGATAAGGTTTTCTGTACATCCACTGAGCCATGCCCTATGAACGATTATAGCTGTTACTTCTTCCTAGAGATCCGTATCATTCATATCTGAAGAAAACTTATCATAAATTGTTACACAATTCTTAAGGATTTAAATTAAAAACTGTACAACCTGATGGTGTAAACCTTTGATATTTCAAACTTAGCAAAGTTGACCCAATATAACTCATAGTTTGAAATATCTAAGATCTATAACATTGGGTTGCAAAGATATAGGGATAAGAAATGCAAAGACTCAAATCCTTTATGAATAATCACATAAAACTAACTACAACGAAGTTCATTCATTCTGTATCCAAATATTTTCAGTCCTATTCAAAATCCTACAAAAATATAATATTAATATTATTCAACAATATAGCAAAAATGACAAATACACAAAATCGTTTTATTTTAATGGATTTTATAGTTAAGGCTCACTGACTGTTAATCAGGACCCCTAATTTATCCTTTAAGGATAATATATCTGATAATAATTCTAGATTGTCGAACTCCGTCAAAGTTGGCGGTAAACGTGATAGGTCTCCAAACTGGTCTGATGAGCAGACGGCCTGCTTACAGGGTATTTTTTTATACTAAGTTTATTTTCTAAAAAAAGAAATGAGATCACGTAAAAATAATGTTTTTGTATTGTATTTAATACATTTTTTACTTGTTAAAGAACCTAAGAGAAGATAATATAAGATACTAGGATCATAAAGCTACCAGCATAAAACTGTGTAATAGGCAGACGACTTTTTGACTCAAGTTATGATTTGTGAAAAACAAAACCAGTAAATGTGCACTGTACAGTGAACACAGGCCCTTCACTTATTTTTTTATCTGCTGGCTAAAACTGTGTGATTTACAACAAAATCAAATACACATAAAATTACTTAAATGTCGTCTTTCTATTCCACAGTTGTTATGGGTCTTACTGTTAGTTGAGAAAAATATTAAATATAAATTTATGAAGATATATAGATCGATAACACAGATTTAATATATTGGATCTGAAAGAAGAAATTTAATTTTTAAGATCTGATAAAGAGCCTGGATGGGGGTGAAATCTACACCGCTCTACTCTCTACAATGAAAACTAAAGAGAATAGGACAAGAAAGAAAAGGTAGATTTTAGTTATGTACACTATGTCATATTTGTTCTTTGAATTCAATGTTAAATATGTTAAGAATTACTTTAAACTCGTCAAAATTGTACACAATAACACAAAAGCCAGTTTCTTACAAAGCACTCAAAACGTACGGGAGGGTGTGGGGTGGTCGTATTTTATTTAGAGGAACTGAAGGCTGAGGCATAATTACCCTTGATTGTTAGAGGGACATCCCCAATTATCAACGGTTCATCGACGACAGAGAACTCCGTGTGATTATCTTTAAAACGGTGTTCAAATAACCGGAAAACTATGCGATATTTTATGTCCAACGCAGTTTATCGAAACATTCAAAGGAAAAATCTTATTTTCTCTGACTTTTAATTCATCTTAAACCTAAACATTTATGTTTTCCTCGTGTATCACAGCTTTCTCACAAAATTTTAAGTGTTTATGCCATCCTTGATCAGTCATAAGCTTATAGGGTACTATTGATAATCGGGCACGCCACTTTTAAAATGGAATGTCATTTGAAGTCATGCATACAATCCCTTTGAAAACATAATTTAACTTTTTTGGAAAATATCTTTATTTCAATAAAAATTTCATGTTGTGCCTCAAAAAGATGCAAATTTAACTTATAATTTAAATTCAAATACAATTATTCGTTTTGGACGAAGGATAGATATTCTTGAAAATATTTGTCCCTGTATCTCAAATTGATAATTTTAGAGCATGGGATAGGGTGTACAGAGAGTTCAGGAAAATGCCTGGACATGAAGTGTTTAGACTCAAACACCTGGTTTCTAAATTCAAAGACATCAAGAATTATAAAAAGGAGGTAAAAAATATTTGTTTGATATTTTGAACAATTCACAATCAAAATATCAAATCAAACAAAGGAATTTAGCCTTTTCCAAAAACTCACATTTGCTAATCCCCATATCTTAACAACCTGATGATGTAAACCTTTGATATTTCTAATTTAGAATACTTGTTCTAACTGAATTGATAGTTTGAAATATCTAAGGTATACGAAATTGCGATACAAAGAAATAGGGACTAGAAGATCAGAGTTTGTGGCAAAGACTCAATTCCTGTATATACCTTGTATTTAATTTTGAATAAGTGAATGTACAACTTACGTCTTACATCGAGGTTCATTAAAATTGCAGAACATTTTTCTTATTGGTATTTTTTCTCATATAGGAGTTAGTGCAGAATCCTGACAATACAGTTTGTGGAGCACCATCACTCTCATCTCCAACTGGTAATAAAACACTTCAATAAATCTTTGATTTCCAGGTTGGACACAGTTTTGAGGTCAAATTATCCTGGGTACTTTAACGTTTAGTAAAAGGTTTTTTAAAAAATTATTAACTAATTGATGTATTGCACGATGCCAAATGATTAATAGAGAATAAATACTATATAGATATTTTTCAAGAATGTGTGGCAATAATGGTTCAAATATAAATTTTTTTGCCGAATAAATTAGAAGATTTTATCAGATTTATTTTATATATTTTAGACAAGCCATCTTTGCCATATTGTATTAAAAAAATTGTAATCTATGTTTGTCTGTCTATTAGTTCATTTGTTTGTGTGTCTCCGTCGTCTGATCATAACTCACGCACCCCTGCAATGATCTGCATAACATTATTTTTGGGAAATTTGGTAGAACCACAGGAGTGGGTTAAAATAAATTTATGCAAATAACATATATTTTTTATTTTCCATCACTTCTAGTGAGTAGTGTGCCAAATATATTAAGAGTGTGCAAAAATGTTTTTCCCCTCCCCCTTCCCCTACCCATTGCAATCTAATCTTCTTTTTTATATCAAATTATAAAATAATTTATCTAAAAACAGTTATTTTGAATTAAAAACGATATATTTAAAATCTAGTTATTATTGTTTCTATATTTCAGAAAAGGATCCTATTAAACCTCCGCCTTTTTCTAGGGAACAAACTCGTTTGCTTCTTGGTAAGTTTGATTATACATTATACAAGATAACACTTGAATTTTAATTTATTTAAATAATTGCGTTGTCTGTTTTGGTGTTGCAGTTTGTTTGTCTTTATCCAATAAACGTCAAAACCCCTAAACCGATCAGGTCCAAATTTGTCCAGAATCTCACTTGGCGTCAGAAAAGGTTTCTGGAAAAAATTGCATGCAACAAATTTAAATTTCTAATAAATGTTGAAAATAGGCCAATAAGAAAGGCAAAGAAAAATAGTCTTTGCCGCAAACTCGGATTTTCTAATTCCTATATCTTCGCAACTTGATGGTAAATCTTTGATATTTCAAACTTTGATTATTTGATCTATCAGTATTCATAGTTTGAAATAGTTAAGGTCTACAGCGCTGGGTTGCAAAGATATAAGGATTTGCGCAAAGACTCAATTCCTTTGCGGAATTTCTTATTGTTATTTTTTTTAATTACCGGAAAAAAACGTTTTGCAGAATGCCGATTGATTAGCAACAAAAAGTTTTAATTTTCATCAGAAGGAGGTCTTAATATTTCTCAAGAGCAAAGTATTTTTAGAAATAGTTGAGAGTGTGAGAGTAAACCAAGAACAGAAAGAGATAATAGATTCCCCAGGCAACAAACCGGAACTTAAAGAGAAGAAAAATAAGTAAGTTAGATAATAAATTGAAATTAGATTTCTGTTAAGTTTTTTTTTTTAGAAGGTATCATCAATATCATGTTATTTTAGCAACCTTTCTTAGAAATGGGTATCTTTTTAAAGACCCTGAATTATGATTTACTTTTATTCAAGTCCTTAAGGTTTTGATTTTATATAACGAATGTTTCATTTATACCAAAATTGTGTATAGAAAAAAATGGTTACTTTAAGTATGTTAGACAATAAGCAATTGTTAAAATCATCACTATTTCTAATGTAAAAAGAAATACTGTAAGTAGGAAAGCCATAACAGTATTAGGGTATGTAAAAATGGTTTAATTCTCCCCTTCTAATATAAATACTTAAACTCATATATTTCAGGGTTTGGAGAAATATTCATGCTCAGTTTATAGAAAGATCTGATTGCAACTTGTTCAGTGCTCAACATCTTAAAGGTTAAAATGGCGTGCATATATTAAGGGTATATATATATACAATATTTTAATATACCTATGTCACTTCAAAAAGACTCTGTTTAAGGATTTAGTGAATTAGAAGACATTCTACTTTAAATGTTAGTTTTTATACTACATTTCAAACATGAGTTTCCTGCTTCATTATTTCCCTTTCCATTATTTAGACCATCACATTTCCTCGTTTCCTTTTCCTGACTGTTTAGCTTGTAGTCTTTCAATTTTATACTATGTAATGCCATTTTTATCTCAGGCAAATATAGAAATATTGTGTTTCAGCGCGGTGGACAGGTAATCAATAAATAATTCTTGCTAGTATTACAAATTACTCTTTCACCTGGTAGACGCAGTCAGCGACTATTAAAGGGACTGTAAGCGTAATTTTAAGTGACCCTCCCTGAAAAGACGGCAATGCCCGTTCCGAAAAATACCCTTAAAGTTGTGTTAGTTAGATATTAAAGTTTATAATTGTGAAAATTAATTATTTTCAATTTTGGTTTATCTACTAATGTGACTGGCGCATTTCTACTGCAGTTAAACATAATCAATCATCAGAATTAAACACTTGTAACCTAGAAAAATGACGATATCTTCTACATTATGAATCAGATAAAGGCTTCAATGGTACCGTTGTGAACGGGCATTGTCATCTTTGCATGGAGGTCACTTGTAATAACGCTTACATTCCCTTTAATTTTTTTATAGAAAAATTTCGATGGATCTGAGAAATCCCTTCAAAATAATCCCATTCAACAGCTGAACACAACTTACTATCGTCCCATTCTTCCTAAACTTCCTGAGGAAAATTCTCCAGAGTTCCTTGAAGTCCCGGTCAAGGTGGAAATACATGATGGAGAGGAAGAACGTAATCCTCTGGATGTCCCTGTCAAGGTTGAGATAATTGATGAGGAAGATCCACTTCAGATTCTTTGAGGTCCCTGTCCACGTTGGTATTCATCATGTGGATTAAGATGGTAAGATCCTTGATATTCTTTTTAAGGTGGAGATACATGTTAAGATTCATTGTGCACAAACCTTACTCCATTCAGTCCCCTGTCCTTATTGTGTCATGAATCCGTGCTGGATACAACACAAAAATTTCAATTGTTTGTTTGAGGCTCATGCTTTCGATGTTTTAAATAAGATAATTGCAAAAGATAAAAAATCATCCTCTTTATTATTTTTAATTTCAGGATGCTTTTCATCGTCCTTTGAGCTTGGAGGAAGAAGAACAGTACTGTCAAACATAAACCCGACATAGTTAATAGTTATCCTAGTTTTTTTATAGAAACATTCAGGTTTGAAAATTTGAAGATTCTAAATCCTCTGTATTTCAGGTAAAAATGTTACCTTTTGAGACCTTGTGTAAAACAGAACGAAACAGTAGAAGATTAGACCTTGTTCACCAACTTCAGGGATAAACACAGATATTAGGAGATTTTTCATAAGTAAACAAAGTTATTTGATCCAACAGAATTCATAGTTTGAAATGTCTAGAGTCTACGACACTGGGTTGCAAAGATATTAGAAAATTCAAGTTTGTGGCTAAAACTCAATTTCTTTGTTCATGAAAAAGTTGTGATGTTATTAAATCAACATTTCTGAAAACGAATTGCAGCAGATAAAAATGTATTCCCAATTTTATTGCACTTACACTACAAACTAAGCGAGTGCGGTAGGTAAAATAGGCTCATGATAGGCCGGGTACTGTAAAAAGTCTGGCCGCGCCATCAAAGTTTAAACCGAGCCGGCATAGGATAGGGCGTCACTTAGGCCGGTACAATTCAAATTGGCCCTGGTCCACCGTGCTGCGCCCGTAATTATTTCTTTCTTAATTTTTTCATATTTTTTCATAGTAAACATCACTTCACTTTTTAAAAATATCAGTTGCATTTTTATAATTTCAACGCTAAAATCTGTTATATTCAGTATTATGAATGCTCAGCTGAAGAAAAAGGGATCCTTCGAGATATTCTTGTTGATATACTCAACCTTCAACATGGACTAGAGGATAACCTTCTTGTTATACAACAGATCCAACAAGTAGATCCAGGGACAGGAGAAGATTATAAAGAGCTGGCTTTAAATACAGCTAGGCAGCATATTATAGACATTAATTCAGTTTATCAACAAGGACTAGACTGGTTAAAGAATGATCAAGCTTGTGATACTCTAAGTTCAGCTTACATTGATGAAGATATTAAAGTAGTTCCTGATATAAACTTGGATCTACTCTCTTCTGAAACCAAGAATAATATAAAAATTGTAGACCAAAATATGTCAGGTACATATATACAGCATTTTGTTTCTTCTATTTTTCTTTTATATTGGAAAATAATATTTTTTTGAGAATAGACCTTTGACCTTTCTTCTAATCAATAAATTGTTGGTATGTTTATTAAAATGATCATAAGCGTAAATTCTAGTAACCCTCAATGCAAATATGGTAATGCCATATTCACAACGGTACCCTTCTCAGCCTAAAAGTTTTATCTGATCAAGAACGAATTATAAGTCAATGTTGATAATTTTGAAAATTGATTATTTTGAATTGTGGCTTCTCTACTAACCTGACTTGCGCATTTCTACTGCAGGAAATATCAGGATCAAACACTTCTAAAATAGCAATTTCTTCCACATTATTGATCAGATAAAGGTTTTATGGGTTACTGTTTTGAATCAAACATTGCAATCTTTGCATAGAGGTCACTTAAAGTTAGGCTTACAGTCACTTTTATTTTTTATATTTTCAGAAAATGAGGAGTTACCTCCTATAGATCAAGGAGGAAAAGTACTTTCCTGTAAATATTGTAAATATTCTTCATTTTCCAAAAAGAGCTTAAAAAGACACAAAGAAATAAAACACAGCATTCAGTCCGGGAATAAACTTTCTTGTGATACATGTGATTATTCTTCTAGTTCTAAATTGAACTTGAAGAAGCATAAGAAATCTAAACACTGTTTGAACTCAAATTCTTTAAAGAAAGAAACAATGGAAGTAAAAGGTATGTAATGGAATTTAAATGATTCCTATGCATTGAGCTTTTATTCCTTATTCATCAATTCTAATAATACTTTCGAAATATCGCTCGAAAAATAAAAATCTCTAAATTCATTCCTCCTTTTAAAAAAGTTATAATTTTAGAGAATCTTTAATTTTACGATATAAAAAGAAAAAACCCCTATTAATTATGTTTTTCTTTTCAGTCGAATTATTAAAGACAGCTGGGGAGACGAAAAGATCTTTTTCACCTGATTTATTTGAATTCGGCCGAGGATCCTTGGACGAACGATTATCACAGATCCATAAAAAGTATCAAGAAGTAAATTTAAGATTAAAACAGCCCCAAATGTATAAATGTGAACTATGTGACTACACAACTGAAACTATGTCAAGGTTAAATACTCATGAGAAGCTAGATCATGAACCTGAATCTGATCTTGATCCTGCAAATATAGAACTGAAACATAATGATACAAAGATTGAAAATAAAATCTATCTATGTGATCAATGTACGTACACAACATCATCAAAGTTTAGTCTAAAGAAGCACAAAGATAGCATGCATGACGGGGAACGGTTTCCATGTGGAAAATGTGATTATGTAGGAACACGTAAAATATATTTACGGAATCATGTTAAGAGTAAGCATGATGGAATCCGTTTTCCATGTGATATCTGTGACTATCAAGCGTTGGAGGAATACACGTTGAAAAGGCATAAAGAGAGAAAACACGGAACTGAACAGTTCTTCTGCGACCAATGTGAATATTCTTCAACAAACATGCAAGATTTAAAACTGCACATAGGAAGTAGACACGAAAATGAGAAATATCCATGTGATAAATGTGATTACGTAGGAACTCTTCATCGCTATGTTCTAAAACACATGCAAAGAGTGCACGGCGAAAAAAAACTCTACTCTTGTGCTAAATGTGAATATGTAAATGTTTGCAGAACTGCATTAAAGAGGCATACAGAAAGCAAGCACGAAGGAGTCAAGTACTCTTGTGACCAGTGTGAAAATTCATTTTCTGAACTTAGAAATTTGCGTAGACACATGAAAAGCAAACATTGCGTAATGAAATAGTTCGTTATTAATCCTGAGTTTATCAGTTATATTATATTTATATATTACCCATATCACCCCCTACCTAATTACACTACATAAAGTTAAGTTCGATATTCGTCATTGTTAATTGGGTGTTAAAGTAAATCGTATTTTGCTCAACTCTTAAATTTTGATTTAAAACTTAATATTTATATCATCTTTTTGGGCCCTCTCACCCTAAATCTCGAANTTATTGCTTTGCTCCATGTAACCTAGTTCTATGGATTTGTAATCAAAAAACAAATTTCATCTTATTCTATTTAATAGACCCAGAAATCTTGAACATTTGACTAAAAATCGCCAATCTTGAATCTAGTCAAAATAGTTTTAATATTACAGAAATGGACTCTCGTAGAAGAGCTCCCAACTTTTCTAAAGAACAAACTCAATTGCTTATAGGTGAGTTCAATAATAATTAAATAAGGATATCATAGATGTGATTTTAAACCTTCGATTTGAATAGTTTCATGCAAGAGTCACTGCTGTATCTTATTCTTAATCGGAGTAACAATATGGAAGATTTTTTTTTTTTTTTGACATATTTCCGCTTATTACCTTTCTTGTCTCTGCTGCATATATCCGCAAGTAGCTTTCAAAGCAAAATTTAAAATTATAAACTGAGAACAAGGATATTTTCATCAATTTTGCTCAAACTAAGGTTGATTAGATACCGTTGTGAATCGGACCTGTAGCTCTTTAAATGGACTTGAAATTAAGACGACAGCCTCAATTATTTTAATTACTCAATACTGTTGCATTTTTAGAAATAGTTGAAAGTGTGAACAGAAGAGATATATTAGATTCTCCTAGCAATACAGCGGTTATGAAACGGAAGAAAATGGAGTAAGTAAAGCATAGAAATAATCTTTTCTGAGTTCGGAACTTCTGTGGGGATATTCCTAAATTTAAACGCTTGAATTCTATATTCAATGTGGACACTTTTAAGTTTTAGATTCAATGCTAGATCCCTCAATTAAAGTTATTTCTGCAGGGTATGGACAGTGGACATCACCGGAGGATTAATAACAAATGGATTTATATTAATCTGTAGGACTTCATAAGATGGAGATTGGAGATAAATAATTGATCCCAAGATTCGCGTTCTGACTTCTGAGCTAAAAACTTGAATACCATTGATACCGATGGATAGCTTAATCTGAATATCCACTGTAGACACTTTTAATTTCTGCTTATTCCGCTCTTTTTCACTCTTTTTTGTTAACCCTACCAGATTCCGACCAATTAGAATTTTGTAAATTCAGCTCTGATATAATTCTAAAACGCTGTACTACGTCACCGTGTTATGTACATGAATTGTATCATTCTCTTTCAGTTAACTAATTGTTATTTTATGCATAAATATTTCAGAGTTTGGAGGTTGATTCATGCTAAGTTTAGAGAAAGATCTGGATGCAACTTATTCAGTATTCAGAATCTCAAAGGTTTCAATGGCATTAAAATTAAATTTTTTAAAGGGACCGTTCACTTTTTTGGGTAATTTCAGGGTAAACTAAACAGCCTAAGCGCTATTCATCGGTAATAGTCTTACTTTTCAAAGACAACTGTGGCCGGAGAAAAAGCCGATTTTTCGTTCAGAATTTGAGCGCAAAGGAACGGTTCCTTTCTATACACACTATTTGATGTTTTTTTCAGTATGTTGTGAATCAAAATAAATTCCGAATATAAAATTAAAATGTAGTATCTAATCGTTAATTGTAAATGTTAAAATTTTTTAAATTTTTTTGTTTTTTAACTTTCTATTTCTAAAATAAGACTATTTTATCGCATTAAAGATTTTCTATTGCCTGTGTAAAAATGGCCACAGTTGTCTTTGAAAAGTAAGACTATTACCGATGAATAGCGCTTAGGCTGTTTAGTTTACTCTGAAATTACCCAAAAAAGTGAACGGTCCCTTTAAGGAGTTTAAAAGGAACTTTATCAGACTTTAACTAGAGACTAGAGAACGTTTTTCAGAATTACTTAACATCCGATTTGTGACCATTGGCGAATATTCAAAATTATTTTGAAGATAAAAATTCCAAAAAAAAGGTGTCAAACGTCTTAATATAGGTTTGGTAAACTTTTGATGTGGATTTCTTAAAGATCAAGAAATACACATGTTTTATACATTTCTAAAAATATCCAGAATTCGAGCATTTTAAGTTGTGACCCAATAATGAAAAAAATGTAGAAAAGAAAAAAGGATTAATTAATTAATTTTGAGTAGTTCTTATCTGTGTAAAGTCGGACGATAAGTCACTTCATCCCTCAGCCACTTCCTCTAAATACTGTCATGTAAGCCTCAATGGGAGGGAGCCTGTACGCGCGTTTGACAAGTTTTCCACATGGTTTAAAGAGTACACCTGTATATTCTGACAATAAGTTTCAAAACATGAGATCAAAGTTTGAAATGTCGGGGTTATCTAAAACCAGGGGGCACATTAAGTCTAAAGAAAGGGCAACGACAACGAACTGGAAACAAAATTGCTATGTCTTTATTCGTATGTATGCTTGGTACCTCATAGTGCTTCAATTTGTTATTCATAAAATACAAATTAATTAAAAGTTACAGAAAAGTTAAATCTTAAATAAAGTTAACATTTAAAAAAATATATATTATGCAATGCCATTTTTATTTCAGGCAAATATAGAAATATATCCTATACGCGTGGGCAGGTATGAAGTATATGTATTTTTTTGTTAACATTCAGCCTGTTAAAGTAAAAATTAAACTATTTGTTTTTAGAAAATAAATTTAGATCCTGGCAAGCAGCAGCACTACCTTGAAAATAAGGTAAAATTAATAATTTACAAGCTTTTAATAATTTCTAATGTTGAATAGGATAACAACTGTTTCTGTTAACAATAATATTTTTTTTTTCTTGGAGGATGTTACTCCCGAAGTAAAGGCTACCTACTATCCTACTATTCTTCCAAAGCGTGCAGAAAAAGATCCTCTGGAGATTCTTGATATTCCTGTTAAAGTTGAGATACATGATGATGAAGAAGAAGCAGGTAAAGTTGCTATTGATAATTTAACCGGTATAATTTTCTAATTCTATTTCAGCCTGGGCTAACAATGCCGAGATGGATTCTGTTTTTTCAAATTTAATTCAAACGCGTTTTGGTCTAAACATATGGACGTTACTTTACTTTTTTAATAACAGTGCATCCACCGTCAACAGAAGTATAAAAGATTACTTAATTATACAGGGGGGGGGGGGGAGGGGGGGTGCCTAATGCTCGGATGCCCCCCCCCCTTTCCTCTGTTTACGCCTCAACTATTTTCTACTGTTACTCCAGATATTGAAAGAAAGCGAAGAGCACCAAACTTCTCAAGATTCCAAAGTCAATTACTCCAAGGTAAATTCTTGTTGAAACATATATAAAGTAGTAATACAGCGATTATTATTACAGTAAGTTAACAAAATTATTTCTAAGTTTAAATAAAAAATATTAATTGTTTTTTTTAATGTTTAGAGATAATTGAAAATTTCGAGGGAAAAGATATAATAGATTCTACAAGTAACACAACTGCAATGAAAGATATGAAAAATGAGTAAGTATTGAGATATATTTAAGTTTATTAATTTATTTAAAGAAAATTGCTGGGGTTGTTCCTGGCCCCAGGTGAAATCCCACCCCTCAGCACTTCCCCTTTTGATACGCATATCAATCACATCAGAGATGAGATTTAAAAAGCTTAAACCCGAGTGAAGCCCAGAGTTGGGCTCAGATAGAACCCAAGTCAGGATTGGCTCTGATTCGACCAATTAGAGACTGCTTATAAAGCTTTCTCTCTGTAGCAGACAGATTACTAGCAGATCAGCTGTGACAAGGAGATGCAAATTTCGAAAATTTGAACTTTACGTAGATACATTATTTGCAAAGTATGTTTATTTCATACCTTAGCTTTGGACCAAATTTGACACTACAAATAATTCCTGAGATTTTAAATGTACAAATATTAAAGTTTTTTCGAAATTTACGATCATTAGCTGCTGAAGACCCGAGCCTTGAAGAGGGAACCCAAGGTGGTTTTTTTTTATAAAACTCAAGGCCATCCAAAACCCGGGTCTTCACTTGAGCTTTAGTGGGGTCTAAGCTGACGCAAAGACCGGGTTTTACTTGGGTTTAAGCTTTTAAAATCTCATCTCTGGGGTAGTCTGTTTAGTCCGCTTAAGGCATATTCTATTGGTGAACACTGGATGTAAGCGTACCCGGGTGCAGGGTTACCAGAACCCGTAGTATTCTGTAGCCCTGTGTCAATATCCTTGACCCCCCTAAACTTTATGTCTATAGTATGATCATTTGTAAGGCAATTCAAAACATGCTATCCACTTAATTTTTCCAAACCCCCGTTTATGATATTATGAAATTTCTGCCATAGTACATTATTATACTAATTGGCCCCTCACCCTTTTTACATTAATAAATTAACTACCTGTAATTTAACACGTGTATTCCCCAGCTTTTCCTGGGGGCATATTTTACAAAACTTAAACCCCCACCTCTAATCGGTAAGTTTTGGTCCATATGATAAATATTACATATATATATAATATATACTAGGCTTTTAGGGCGCTTCGCGCCCATCTTCTATTTTAATTGTGAACAATTTCTCTTTGTATACATTGTAAAACAAAAACAAAAAAATTCGAGAATTTTCTTCAAATTTTGTTAGAGGCAAATTTTTGAAAATTCGATCAACCGTAAACCTTTCCTGGGGTCACTTGAGGTCCCACAAAAAGTTTGGGCCCAGTCGGTTCAGCCGTTTTGACATTTATTCATTCAAAGAAAGAAAGAAACAAACAGACTGACAGAAAAGGAAGTATATATATATACTATATACAATTAACTAGATTAGTTTCAGTTTTTCATAGTTTATTAATACAAAAGGTTTCGAATTTGCTTCTGTTCAGTTAAGGAAAATGGTTAAATTTATATATATATATTCGCTATACCTTGCTAAACGACTTAACCAATTCAGCTGACATTTTTTTTACATAGGCTGAAAACTTTTTGAAATTTTTAAAATCATGATATATTACCAAACCTGGGAATCCAGCGAGAGAAACTAATAAATATTAATTTAAACCTGGGCAACGTCGGGAACTTGAGCTAGTATTTTTATATGGAAAAATGTTACCGAAATTGAAAGCCCAACAAAATTATGAAATATTGATTTTTGTTTAATTTTCATCAGATGATAATGTTATGTTTCAGTGCATGGAGAGTTGTACATAATCAGTTTATAGAGCAGTCAGGCTGTGATGTCTTTAGTATTGATAACTTAAAAGGTTAAAATGGCAAAACAGAATATTTTCAAAATCTTTATTAATGACAATGTTTCTCATAAAGTCGTAACTCGGTTACTTAATATAAGGTATTCAAATTTTTCTAAATTTATCGTTCAAAAGGAATTCAGTTTTTGCCACAAACATAAATTTGCTAATTCCTAAATTTTTACAACCTAATTTTATAAACCTTTGATATTTTAAACTTATATTACTTGATATACCAGCATTTACAATTTGAAATATCAAAGGTCTACGAAATCGGGTTGTAAAGATAAAGGGATTAGAAAATCAAAGTTTGTGGCAAAAACTCAACTTCTTTACTTAATAACCTAATTCTTTTATTGTAAACAAGTTGAATGCTATTTTAAATGTATCTAGTGAAATATAAGAACATTGTATGTCGCAAAAGAAAGGAGGTAAATATAAACAATAGCATTACGCAGTACAGTACAGTACAGTACAGTACAGTACAGTACAGTACAGTACAGTACAGTACAGTACAGTACAGTACAGTAGATTATACTACAGTAATGAGTTAATTTAAATTAAAATAATTATAAATTAATTTAAAATTCAACAAATCACAATAACATCAACAAATCAATAAAAATGAATTCTGGTAAATTAATGTTTGAGTCCAGGTGTGTAGTGAGGATAGTTCTAAGCCTGAAGATACAATGGATTTGATGGGGATGAGTTGGAACTCCCTGGAGAATCTTGAATTTCCTCTCACAAACCAAGAAAAACCTGACCGTGTTACACTAGAACAAGAAATGGGTAAATGTATTAGATTTATTTATATGATAATACAACCATGCTGTCAATTCACGCTATATCTACTTAATTTTATTTAAATAATTTTATTTATTTCAAAAAGTTTTTTATCGAATTATGCTAAGTTAATTTATGAGTGCTCTTTAAAGCATTTATTAATAAGAAATTTGCCATTTTTGCCACGGATGCATTTTTGTTAAGAGAGTAAATATTGTTTTCCACAAGATCAGGGGAGATCAGTTCTACACCACAAGACTCTCTATCATCTAGAATTTTATTTTTGAAGGGGCAAATTTCTTATCACTATATCATGATTAAAGAGCACTTCATGACTAGCTGAAGGGCCCGGCGCGGCCCGTGGAAAAAAATTGGAAAAAAAATTTCGAATTTTATTTTAGCCTTTAACATCCCCCGGCCACACATGAGTGTCCACAAAAAATTTCAGCTTTATCGATCCAGCCGTTTGGCCGGCTATACGCAACATATATACGAATGTCTTGTTTTATTATAAAGCTTGTTTTAACATGATCAAGGGAAATCAGTTCTACACAATAGAACCAATAACTGACAAAAATATTTATTTTTCTATTTTCTTAAAATTATTTTTATAATTTTTTAAATTAAAAAATATTTAGAGATGGACTTCAAGAGACGGGCTCCAAATTTTTCCAAAGCTCAAACGGAATTACTTTTAGGTAAGATAAAAACGGTCGCTAATTGTGTACAGTGTACACAATACAATAACAGTGTTTTTTGGTTCTAAAGGATTATTTATATTTTAGCAATAATTGAAAAGTTTGGTGGGAAGGATATTCTCACCTCAGGGATAAACTCAGCTGAGATGGTGGAGAAGAAGAAGGAGTAAGTTTTTAAGAAATATTATGTATACCCCATTTTCTAAAAATTCTTTATTTTGATGCAGTCTTCTTCGTATTTATCAATAAAATGGTTTCATTTTTGATTTCTACTAAGCTTGTAAACAGCATGGATACAAATAAACATAGTAACAAAGGGAAGCTGTCATTTAACAGCTTCTCTATCTTTACTTTCTAACTTATTATTTGTATTGTATTGTATATGCATTGATATAAACTCCAACTACTGTAGAATATCTTGTATTTAGTATTTACATCTAGAAAGTTCTATTTGTTGTTAAAATAGAATCATACGAGTTCCTAAATATATATGAGAAAATGTTAAAAATCTCTTTATTTGCAATAAATCTTATAAAAAATGAATATTGATTTTTAGAGGGAAGTATTTAAACACAACCTTCAATTGGCTTCTCCATAGATAAATAAATAAACATAGATAGCTCATGTACGCAAAATCACCAAGAATTGTACAGTCCGCGAACTCATACTTCTAGGGGTCAAAGTGTACTTCAATGATGAGCGGGGTGGTTTGGTGTTTTAATGGATTTCATATTTATTAAACCACTCAAGAGTGAATTTTATTTCACTGAGCAATATATCATATTGACGAGAACTGAAGAAGGACATGAGAAGGACTAAACTAACTTAAATTTCTCTCTACAGAACTCATGTACACTGCAAGTACTCAATGACATAAGAACAGCCAATGTTCACAACCGACCTAGTTAATCTATGTAATAGGAATATCTTTAAAACATCTCTGTACATTTATATCTTTAAAGATGAAAAATGTCGTCTTATGCGCAATTTATCTTTATCTATGGGCTTCTCTTAAACATCTGGGCTTTTTTGTGAAACTTAATTTCGTTACACACTTCCAGTAGATTGGATGTCTCTGTATTTTAAAATGTAAATTGATAATAAAGTAAACACTGTACTGTAAACTGTACTGTACTGTAAACTGTACATTACTGTAAACTGGACTGTACTGTAAACTGTACTGTACTGTAAACTGTACTGTACTGTAAACTGTACTGTGCTGTAAACTTACTGTACTGTAAACTGTACTGTACTGTAAACTGTACTGTACTGTAAACTGTACTGTACTGAAACTGTACTGTACTGTAAACTGTACTGTACTGTAAACTTTACGTAAAGCATAAATTCAAGCTTCAAGCTACTTCAAAATCTATTTTAAGCACTCCTCAATCCTCATTAAAGAATAATTTTTTTAATTTAGATTTGAAATCTATTTATTTTAGAGCATGGATTGCTGTGCATACTTATTTTATCGAGAAATCTGGTTGCAAAACTTTTACAGTTGATAATTTAAAAGGTTTATAACAGTTAAATACTTTATTGTTTTTAAAATACAGGACATGATTGATGACTAACGAAAATGAAAATGATGAAAATACTCCTATGCTTGTTTGATTTTATTTCGATTTCTTAATTGATGTAAAGCTCATATGTTATTGTTATTGTTATTGTTATTGTTATTGTTATTGTTATTGTTATTGTTATTGTTATCGTTATCGTTATCGTTATCGTTATCGTTATCGTTAACTTTATCATTATCATTATCATTATTCAAATGTTTCCATATTTTGTAATTATCATTAGTTAAACTGTCATAAAATTAGTAAAATACAAGAACTCCATCCAAAGAAAAAAGAAATCTGAGGTAAGTCCCAGATATAAAAATAGATAAATACCTAATTCTTCTTATTTAATCTAACTTGAACTTGAAATCAGGGTAATGCTTGGCAGGAAAATAATAACGTTTGGCTTAGCCATAACTTACAGCATAGATAATGTAGGCTTAGCCATAATTTAGAGCAAAGATAATGTTGTCTTTGTCATGACTTGAAACAATGATAAAGCTTGGCTTAGCCATGATTTGACACAAAGATAATGTTGGCTTAGATATGACTTGAAGTAAAGATAATGCTTGGCTTAGCCATGACTTGAAACAAGAATACTGATTAATGCGGTGCAAATAATTTTATTTTGTAAGTATCAGGGTTAATGTCTCCATGATCAGTGATCCGTGATCAATCACAATGGAAGACATTTTTACAAATTGATGTTCTAGGCTTCTAAAGAAGGGTTTGTAGGGTTATCTCATGCCTTTGATCCTCTCTCAATCCATGGATCTGATCATCCTCAACCTTATCCTCCAGACCGTCATCTCAAACCTCAGGTTAAATCATAGAAAGTAGTTCAGAGATCGGAACTTTTGTGTGGATATTTTTAATCTTGAAATCTTGATCTCGATATCAAATGTGGGTACTTTTAAATTTGAGGATAAATGTTTGATCGTTTAATTCTGACTTCAAATCATTTTTAATAAAAATTCATAATTATTTATTTCAAGCATTGCCTGAATGTTTCCTAATGAGATTTTAATTCTCTTTTTTTACCTTTAAGATGAATTTTTAAAAAAATTACTTTATGTCTTTGAATTAAAGAATTTATGATTAAAACAAATAATTTGATCATATTTCTTCTGAACCCACTTTTTTGATTTGTGATAACATCCTTCCATATCTAATTTATTAAATATAAATGAAGGATTTGGGTAGCAGTTGTGAAGGATGGGAAAAATTTGAAGAAGAAGAAGGTATTGAGGAACTAGAAATTGAAGAAGATGATGCTTTTGAAGATCTTCAAACTTTAGATCAATATTTGAAATATCCAAATCAGAACCAGATCAAACAGAACCAGATCAATCAGAAACACCTCAACCCGATCCAGATCAGTCAAAACCAAATTAACCATAATCAAATCAATCAGAACCAGCTCAACCAGAACCAGATAAACCATAACCAGATCAATCAGAACCAGATTAATCAGAACCAGATTAACCAGAACCAGATCAACCAGAACCAGATCAGCCAAAACCAGATCAGCTGCAACCAATACTACACCGAAGCTGAAGGTTTAAGATAAATTTTGATTTTTGACGATTTTCGAAAATTCATTTATTTGAAACCTTAACCGACTAAAAAGAAATTAATACAAATATGTTTACGAATATAATTTAAAATGTCGTCAACAATATTTTTAGAAATAGAGAGACGGAAGAGAGCTCCAAACTTCTCTGCAGCTCAATCTAAGTTGCTTCAAGGTGTTAAATAATTTAAACAATCGTGTTCTTTTTTTTAGAAATTGTGGTTTTTCGAAAAAAATAACTTTATCAAAGTACAAGGAAAACGATTTTTACAATTTAAGGATTAGAGAGTTTTAGTGGTATAAAATTTGTCTGTTTCTTACAGTTTGTTTTGTAGTTTACTCTTAGATCTGGAAGAAAAAAAAAACAATTTATAATAAAAAATTTTGGTTTTATTTACATTTTCAAACATTAATTTTATGTTCTTCACAGAGCTGATTGAGAACTTTGAGAGAAAAGACATAATTCATTCATCCAGTAATTCTTCAGCAGTTAAGGAAATGAAAAATGAGTAAGTAAAATATTTTTAAAGTATTTAATTGATTTTTTGAATCAAGGTTTTAACAACGCCATTGTGTGCTGGTCCGGACTCCGGATCAAAGTCCTAGATCAGCATTTATAAAAGTAAACTTTAGTTAAGAAAAGTCTGGACTAAAATGAAGTTAGTTTAATATATAAAAACTGATTATATAACCCATTTTAAAAATCAACAGCAGGGGTTCCTTCTCAAATCTGGATTCAAATGAAGTTAGGTTAAGATATGAAAACTGATAATTCAACAGTTAACCTAATTTAAAAATCTACAGCAGGGGTTCCTTCTCAAATCTGGATTAAAATGAAGTTAGGTTAAGATATGAAAACTGATTATTCAACAGTTAACCTAATTTAAAAATCTTCAGCAGGGGTTCCTTCTCAAATCTGGATTAAAATGAAGTTAGGTTAATATATAAAAACTGATTATTCAACAGTTAACCTAATTTAAAAATCTACAGCAGGGTTTCCTTCTTAAATCTTGAGTAAAAATAAATAAGTATTAGTTGAGTATTTGAAACTTTTTGCAATGTTTCCTTTAATTTTGTAAAAGTAACATACACAAGTTTCCAATTTAATTCGATCATTTACATTCTTTCTCACTTTTTAGTATTTTTATTATTGTTATTATTTTCATTTAAATATTTTATATACATATTCACAGTTTTGAATTTATAAGGTATTATTTTAGAGCATGGACAATTATACATGACCGGTTTAAAAAAGAATCTGGGTCTGATCTTTTCTCTGTTGAAAACTTGAGAGGTAAACCCTAAGCTTGGTTAAAATACCAGAATATTTTTTCATTTTGCAAAGTAATGTTTATCCCAATTACGGGGTTTATTATTGATTCTAAAAAAGCCTGACAAGCACTCCTTACCTTGTACTANGGGGGGGGGGGCAGTAAACATATTAACATAATAACATATTAACATTTGTCAAAACTAAAAATAAATATTTTTTAACTTTTTTCCGACGTACTCTTTGAACCGAATTTTTCCAGATTATCTTTTTAATTTATCATTTTAATTTTGATTTTAGGGAAATACAGAAACACTTGTTACTTGAAGAAGAAATCAGAGGTAATGGTTAAAATTTAATTTTTTTTATTACTCCTTTATTGTAAATTGCACTATGTACATATGTACAAAGAGTTTTGTTTACCCTATTGGCAACTTTATACAACACTTCTGTAATTTTGAGCATCAATAGATATTCACTGAGGTAATGTGAGGTCCCACACAAAACCGTGGCCCGATCGGTTCACTCGTTTTAACGTTTATTGGATACAAACAGACAAACAAACAGACAGACAAGCAAAATATATATAAAAGAAACGTGTTTGTAAAGAAATGTCTTTTTACAACATTTTAAGATTTTATTAAATTTTAATTTTTTGGACGTTTTGATAGTTTTCCTGTTTTCAGGTTTTAAAGGTTAAAAGTATAGCTGAGAGTGATATTGGTATAAAAGAAATTAAAGATATGGCACCACAAGCCACCCTTTCCGACACAGGTGGAGATATGGTGCCACAAGACATCCTTTCTGGCTCAGAAGATGGAGATACGGTGCTAGACTCTACCGTGTCTGACCCAGAAGATGGTAGGTTGGAGACGGAGTTAGACCCGAGTCTGCTGGAGAGTGAAGGTAGAGTGTCAACGTTGAATAATTATTATAATAGGTGATTGCTTTAAACGGAATCTTTTCAAAAACAAGGATTAATAAATAAGTTGAGAACACGCAGACATATATCTGAGTTCGATTTGATGAAGATTTTTCTTATTTAAAGCTCCTATATCGAAGAAATATCACCGATAACAAAATAAATGGGCCCTAGGCATTCATTTCTGCATTTCGTAATCTGATCTGATTTTAATTGATTTGATTTGATTTGATTATTTGATTTGATCTGATGTGATTTGATCTGATGTGATTTGATCTGATTTAATTTGATTTGATATGATATGATATGATATGATATGATTTGATTTGATTTGATTTGATTTGATTTGATTTGATTTGATTTGATTTGATTTGATTTGATTTGATTTGATTTGATTTGATTTGATTTGATTTGATCTGATTTAATTTGATTTGATATGATATGATATGATATGATATGATTTTGATTTGATTTGATTTGATTTGATTTGATTTGATTTGATTTGATTTGATTTGATTTGATTTGATTTGATTTGATTTGATTTGATTTGATTTGAATTGAATTGAATTGATTTGATTTGATTTGATTTGATTTGATTTGATTTGATTTGATTTGATTTGATCCCAGACATTAGACGAAATGAAGAACAGAAGAGAGCTCCAAACTTCTCTGAAGACCAGGCATTTGCACTTAAAGGTGAAACAATTTAAAAGATGAAAACTAAGAATAAGTTTTTTTTTTTTGACAATCTTAAACAAGTTCTATTAAAATTATTGTTTTCTTTACTTTATGCTAAAACGACATTATCTTGTTACAACACAAATAGTTTGTGTTTGATTTTGTTCTTGTCTTTTTGAGACAATAAAAAATATGCAGTCCCAAGCTATAAAATCCCCCCCCCCCTCCCTCTATCTACTATCACTCAGGTTTATCGAAATAAAGTTCAGCCAAAAAGTTACTTGGAACAACCAAATGTTAGAAAATTGTGGCTGCTGAACATTTATTTTTTGTCACTAATTAACGGAATCCGTTTTTTAACTTGCTAACTGCGGATTTAATATTCATCAATGATTTTAAAAATACAACTGGACCCATCTCTTAAAAATAGTTTTTTTTCTAGAAATAATAAAGAACTTTGATGGAAAACATATTATAAACTCTCCAAGTAATACTGAAAAAATGTTGGAACAGAAGAGAGAGTGAGTATTATTATTATTATTATTATTATTATTATTATTATTATTATTATTATTATTATTATTGTTGTTATTGTTATTGTTATTGTTATTGTTATTGTTATTGTTATGGTTATTTTTATTGTTATTGTTATTGTTATTGTTAGTTATTATTATTAATAGATACTAGTATTATTATTATTATTATTATTTTTACTAAATCATAAATGCCTTATTTACTTTTAGAGCTTGGAGATCAATTCATAAACTATTCAAAGAAGTAACTGGCTGCGATTATTTTAGTATTCATAATCTAAAAGGTTTGAGTGGCAAATATTCAAAACAAAACATAATTTATTATTACTTCATATATTCTCTTGTTGGAAAAAAGTGAATTTAAGTTTTAAATCTAAAATATGTTGCCACTTTTCCTAGTTAAATACAAGAACAGTACAAATAAAAAACGAAATAAAACTTTGAAGATTAACCCAGCGAAAACTAATTCTGAAGAGGAGGTAAAAGTTGTTTCATGAAATATATCATACATTTTTAGATTGAATATTATTTTTAATATCTCTTAATGATTTTCTTATAAATATATTATTTGTTTCATTTATTGTTTTCCTGTTTGATGTCAGACTGTTAGAATAAAAGAGAGTTTTCTAGCAGTTTATTACTTAAATCTTGAGCTAATGCAATTTTAACTTCTCCTGGTATGGATTTAATATTTAGGGATTTTATAATTTCAGATTGTGAACCCAGTATTGTTGACGCAGGTGCCTACTATAGAACTCATAAAACCAGCAGTATTAAAGCGGAGGAAGCCGACATTTAATCAGCTGATGAAGGACTTACTAAAACTGAAAGAAGGAGTTGAGAATAATCTTCTTCTTATTGAACAAATTACAGATCAAGAAGGTGTAAAGGAGCTAGCAGTAAACTCTGCTAAAGAGAATATTTCAATCCTAAACTCTATACTTGAAGATGGGAAAGAAATTGAAAATGATCCAGGAGGAGTCCATCAGGTTGATCAAGATCCTGATCATCCTCCGGAGATTCAAACTCCAGTATCCGGGCCATTGGAAAAGGGGAGAGATGTTAAGTTAGAGCGTTCAGAAGATGTTAAAGGTGGAATTCTAGATTTTCACGTATCTGAAGAAAATTGTAATAATTCAAAATCCATGCGTAAAAAGAACTTTCAGATAAACGGAAATATTAAAGGTAAAATTTTGAATTTCAATATTTGTAATGTTTTTAAGCAAGCTTCCAATTTTAATTTTACTATCTTTAAAAAAGTTGGGCATTAATGATGTTTCTTGCTTGTAGCAAATACTTTACAGATATTCCGGGGTGGAGGGGGGATTTTATTCAGAAATATTTTCCCATTATTTTTTTGTCTGTTTTTACTAGAATATTTAATAGGAATGTTGAAAACAGAAACAGAAGGCGTTCCAGTCAAGCAATTTAAACACAATAAGGAGCTGTTTTCTTGTGATAAATGTGAATATGTTACGTTAACCCAAATTGCTCTACTAAATCACATGAAGACTCGGCATGAGAGGGGTAGACCAACCTGTGTTCTGTGTGGACTCATGTTCAAGACTAAATTTGATCTTGCGCGTCACCGCAGACAGAAACACTGGAGTAAGTAGTACAGTACACTGCTCGTGTACAGTGTATGCTGTACAGCACCTGTATATTGTACATACATTCTTCTTACTGATACTCCGGATAAACATTTGAATTCAATAACTTTTAAATCGTCTTAAATCTGCGCGGCATTTTCTAGTAAACTTGATGATGGTCTTTTATGATTAAAACAAATAACCCTAAAACGCTTAAATTCAAGATTATATGAAATGGTCTTCCCTTTGTTTTATTCGCAAAAGAATTTTGTTTGGTTAAGTTAACAAAGCCAAAAGTATCCAAATACTCATTATTTTTTAGTGATACTAATTCGGTAGATATTAAAACAGTCTTTTTATTTCCATGTTTCTTGGGACACCCTGTAGCTCTAGATATTGCATTTCTATTTTTTTTTTACTTTTTTTCCATAAAGTTACATTAATTCAGTTGCTAGAAAAAAGTTAATTTTCTTTTTTAGGTTTTAAATACACAAAAATATTTTTTGTCTTTTTTCAAACAATTAAAAAATTAAATATTTAGATGTGGAGGCTAGAAGTAAAAAAGTGACCTCAGACGAGAAAACCGTTTTCTTGTGTGAACTTTGTGCTTTTACAACTGATGTTGAACTAACCTTGAAGAAACACAAGTGGAATAAACATCTACGAGTGCTGAGATGTGATCTCTGTAGTTTTAAATGTCATAAGTTTAAGTTTATGAACAATCACAAGGCTAAACAGCATGGAATCAGTTTTCCTTGTGATGAATGCAAGTATACCACGTTGAACAAGTACAGCTTGAAGCTGCACAAGGATAGAATGCACGGTGCTATTAGTTTCTTCTGTGACCAGTGTGAATACTCCTCAACCACCAAGCTGGATCTATTCAGGCACTATGGCAAGCAGCATCAAGGCAAAACATATCCATGTGATCAGTGTGATTTTGTCGGTAGTTACAACAGCTCTTTGTTTAGACACGTACAGGTCAACCATAAGGGTGTACGGTATTCATGTGAAGAATGTAATCTATTGTTTACTCTAAATAGTTCCTTGAAAAAGCACATTAAATCTGTACATTTAGGGATAAAGATTCCTTGTGATCAATGTGATATGACCTTTTCCGCTCGTGGAAACATGCTCCGACACAAGAGAAGTAAACATGGAGCTGATTAAATAAACAGAAATATATAATGTTGGTTCTCAGCTTCATCTTTATTTATAGAAAATTAGAAAATGTCTACTTGTATTAATAAATAAAGATATTTTAAATTAAATGTTATTATTACAAAATATTTTCGAAGCATTTAACAAGATGTTTAACTTTGCCAGTAGTTTTTCCTCTTTTTCTTTCTTTGTTTAGTTCAGTTTGATTATCTTCTGTAGTATTGTCTTCTTCTCTTAGAAGAGCGGACTTGTCTATCCCTACAATTAATAATAATTAAATAATTAAAAATAATTTGTCAAAATTGTTTCCTTCCTATTCAAATCATTTTTTGTCACTTTCATAATATATATATTGCTAACTGAACCGATCAGGCCCTATTTTTTGTGTCAACTCACATGACCCCAGGAAAGGTTTTTTAACGGTCCAACTTGTTAATTTTGAATGGAAAAAAGGTCCATCTTTAAAAGTTTTCAAAATCCAGTAATTTAAATAGATAAATANAAAATGGGGACTTGAAAAGCAACAGTTAAAAGCTAGAATTGTTTGTTTTTTAAAGGTGATAACTTTTGAAGACATTTTACTTGAAAACATGAATTTGATTTCAATTTTTTTCCGATCAAATGCCAATAATAAGGTGCAATTTCTAGTGATAAGGGATTTTCAACTTTTTGGCTCAAAAATTGAAAATCCATTTTTTAATATTGTGAAAAGAAAATATGAAAAAAGTAGAGGACAGATACAAATCTTTTAAGAAAAGGTTTTTAATAAATTTTCACAGGGCAGAAGGCATGAAAATTGATTTTAAAACTTACTAATTCACCTGTCCGTCTTATTGGTACAATACAGTTCTCCAATGTTTTAATCTCGTTGTTTCTGGTAAAAGGGGTAAATTCCTCTTTTACTTCCCTCTGTACAGGAAAAAAGTAATTAAAAAAATAATATTGATGATGAAAATTTATCTCAAGCGACATAATAGTGGTCGCCAGAATAGAGGAGAACGACAGATGAAACTTGAAATTAATTTTCAGCTTTAATCATATCAAAAGTATACTTGATAAAAAATCCAAAAACATTGTCACAGTCTATTTCACAAACAAAATTGACAAAAAAAAACCTTAAATCTTTGTTTTCATTAAGCGTACTGCATCCTCTGAGATAAATATCAACAGAACTAAGTCAGTTTGTTTATAATCCTCAATAATTGTAGATTAGTCTTTTCAATTAAGTTTTCATGGCCTGATTTTCAGAGGATATTGTTAGGTCAGAATTCACACTGTCTCTCAAACTTTCTAGAAAATAAATATTAATCATTTCATATATGCGAAGTAAATATTTCTGTTTGTTTGTTTGTATGTCTGATCATAACTCGGGAACCCCTTGACAAATTTGCTTTTCATTTGATGGTGGAACTTGGTGGAACCACAAGCATGTTCTTAGCCTGGTTCTTTGCAAGTTTTAAATTAAGAAGTTCGACTTTTGTAGAAAATTATTTAGTTTCCAGGAAAAGTTGGTTTCCCAATCTAAGTGAATATAAAGTAGTAATCTGTGTGTCTGTCCGTCTTTTTTGTCTTTCCCATTATAGCTCATGGACCTCATGACCAATTTGCCTCAAACTTAGATTGGGGAACTCTGTAGAACCGTAGAACCACATAAATGTTCTTAGCTTGGTTTAAAAAGGTCTGAGTTGAAAAGTTTGATTCTAACTAAAGTAGTAATCTCTGTGTTTGTCTATTTGTTAGATCAAATAGTCTAAATTTGAAATATTAATGTTGAACTCCTGGTTTCCGTCTAGTATGTACACGGATAAATTGATAATCTACTTACACAGCGGTGTTTTCAGTGTGAATATACAATTTAACATGAACCACATAATTTTAAATTACCTGTATATACCTCACTCCCCTGGCTGTCCAGGGTAAAGGTGCGTGATGCTCTTCGTTCAAGGATTAAACCTATTAAAGGGAGTGTTCTTGAACATGAAGATCAAAAATTAAACCTATTAAAGAGAGTGTTCTTGAACATGAAGGTCAAGGATTAAACCTATTAAAGGGAGTGTTCTTGAACATGAAGGTCAAGGATTAAACCTATTAAAAATAGTGTTTTTGAACATGAAGGTCAAGGATAAACCTAGTAAATGGAGTGTTTTTGAACATGAAGGTAAGGATTAAACCTATTTAAGGAAGTGTTCTTGAACATGAAGGACAAAGATTAAACCTATAAAAGGGAGTGTTCTTGAACATGAAGGTAAGGATTAAACCTATTAAAGGAAGTGTTCTTGAACATGAAGGTCAAGGATTAAATCTATTAAAGGGAATGTTCTTGAACATGAAGGTAAGGATTAAACCTATTAAAGGAAGTGTTCTTGAACATGAAGGTCAAGGATTAAACCTATTAAAGGAAGTGTTCTTGAACATGAAGGTCAAGGGTTAAACCTATTAAAGGAAGTGTTCTTGAACATGAAGGTCAAGGATTAAACCTATTTAAGGAAGTGTTCTTGAACATTAAGGTAAGGATTAAACCTATTAAAGGAAGTGTTCTTGAACATGAAGGTTAAGGATTAAACCTATTAAAGGAAGTGTTCTTGAACATGAAGGTCAAGGATTAAACCTATTAAAAATAGTGTTTTTGAACATGAAGGTCAAGGATAAACCTAGTAAAGGGAGTGTTCTTGAACATGAAGGTCAAGGATTAAACCTATTTAAGGAAGTGTTCTTGAACATGAAGGTCAAAGATTAAACCTATAAAAGGGAGTGTTCTTGAATATGAAGGTCAAGGATAAACCTATTAAAGGGAGTGTTCTTGAATATGAAGGTCAAGGATAAACCTATTAAAGGGAGTGTTCTTGAATATGAAGGTCAAGGATAAACCTATTAAAGGGAGTTTTCTTGAACATGAAGGTCAAAGATTAAACTTATTAAAGGGAGTGTTCTTTGTGGTTTTTCTACAAGGAAAACAAACAGGAATTATGAGAAATAAAGACTTTTAACCTAAAAAAAAGGACAGTTTTGTTCACATTAATTATAAGATAGGTTTCAAAGGTACTGTTGAGAATCGAGTATTTCCATCTTTGTATGGATGCAGTCACTTGAAATAATGATTACAGACCCTTGAAGTAAGCTTTGTTTGGCGGTTTTTAACGATATTAAGTAGTTTTCAGTTTTTAATTTCTAAGAAAAGGATTTCCAACCACCAGTCACCAACTCATTGAATTTTATTTTTAATTCCATTGAAGAATGATTAATCATTACAAAAGAAATTTTTAAAAAATTGATGCTAAAATAATATTTGTACTTGAAACTCTTTTCATCGCTCGTATAGCCTGCCCACATCGTTGCCAGCGCATCCTATGAAAAAAAAACCTATTTTGAATTCTCCAATCAATATTCTTTAAGTTTTATTAAGATGATTCGAGTTCTTTATTAAAGGGACTGTCTGTCGTTTTCATCTCAAACGATTGTCCAATTTCCGAATCACAACGGTGCCTTGCAGTGTTTTATTTTGAACATCTCCTTCATATTTTTAAAGAAGCAGAAATGCGCAGGTTACTTTAAGGAGAACACACTAATGAAAATAATCGATTTTTAAAGAGATGATGATAGATTTCTTCTGTTTTCTTCTTCAGATAAAACTTTTAAGGGTGCCGTTGTGAATGGTATACGCCAATCTTTAAATTTCTTTTACAATTCCTTTATTAGAAAATAATTCAGAAATATGAGATGGGACATATAGGCTGAGAGGGACTTTAAATTATGCAGTTAGAGCGTCCCCTATATATATAGTAAACGTCGAGCCTCTGCTATATACAGAAAAGTTTCCTTAAAACTCTTGGTTTTTAATTTTTCATGTAGTAAAGAATTTTTTGTATTTTTTCGCAAAAGTAGCATAAAAAGTTTATCAAAGATCAGAAGTACGTTCATTAATTTAATTTCTATAAATAGTGACTAATTATGACTAGAAATTTGGTTTATAAGACTTGATGCATTTTTTACGCAAAAAGGAAAACATTTACAGAAGAAATTCTGAAAGTAATTATATTTGATATTTTATAATCTTCATATTAATCTATACCTTTTATGACATTTCTATCAGATTAAGATAATCAAAAATTTAACATTTACAAATAATTTAAATCTAAAAAATTTCCCAAAATAGGAATTACTTAAATTAAAGATTAAAACAAAATAAACTATTCAGAAATGAATTTCCCAATAGTCTCTTTAAGGCGTCAGAAATGTTTTATTGTAAAACATAACTCTTATAAACCACTTTATGAGTTATAAATGATGACAATCATTAAACAACATTAATCTTAAGTAAAATTCTATTACCGCTATGCTGAAAAAATGATAAAAATTCTTTACTACATATAAAAACCAAGAGTTATAAGAAAGCTATTCTGTATTGCGGAAGCTCTTACTGCATGGCGGAGGCTTGGTTTGCCTAGCAAATCTATGAGGCTTGTGCCTGCAAGGCGAAGGCTCATGGCGTCGGGGGTTCCCTCACTCCTCCAAGCTTTAACGCCAAAATACGCACATAATACTCGAAAATCTTAGTATTTTCTGAAAGTAAAATGACTCATTATCTAGTTAAATCCCTGTTTCAATCATTATTAAAGATATCTCATATTTCTTTAAGGTAAACAACTATCAGGTCGTATAATATCCCATCACCTTGTGAATAAATGGTTGTTACGCACGCATAATAAAAACTAATCACTTTATTGTTTATTTGTTTCATTTTTGAAAGGAAATTAAATATACCTGGCTAAATATCGTTTAAGGTTTGCAGTTGAAATCACCGCTTCATTCATATTTTCTTGAAGGAGCCAGGGATGTTCAAGACACTAAAATCATGTCAAGAGACAGGAATGTTCAAGACCCAAAATTCGAGTCAAGATACAGGGATGTTCAAGACACTAAATTCATGTCAAGAGACAGGGATGTTCAAGACACTAAATTCATGTCAAGAGACAGGGATGTTCAAGACACTAAATTCGAGTCAAGATACAGGGATGTTCAACACACTAAATTCATGTCAAGAGACAGGGATGTTCAAGACACTAAATTCATGTCAAGAGACAGGGATGTTCAAGACACTAAATTTATGTCAAGAGACAGGGATGTTCAAGACACTAAATTCATGTCAAGAGACAGGGAGTTCAAGACACTGAATTCATGTCAAGAGGCAGGGATGTTCAAGACACTAAATTCATGTCAAGAAACAGGGAGTTCAAGACACTAAATTCATGTCAAGAGACAGGGATGTTCAAGACACTATCTAAATATCAAAATATTTTAGTCTGGTTGTTTTTCTTTTATTCTGCCGTTCTTGTTGCACAACAGTGTTTATAGAAAAATGGCTAATAAGGAAGGATAGAAAAATAATCATACATTAGAGTAATGTAAACATGACCGGAAACATTTCATATATAATTCGGTAATGGCTAAAAAACGATCATGTTCAGATAAAATGAAATTTTTTTAATCGTTACGCGCATATTGATAGACCCGAAGTAAAATTCAATCAAATCAAATCACTAAAGTGTTTGCAATAAATTTGCATGTTTGAGAATTAAAAAAATCTTAAGAAGGACTTGGTTGGAGAAAGTATTTAGTTTTTACATAACAACGTTTCTAATGCTTTTTCTAGACAATTATGTGGTCAGCCTTTTTTACCTGGCTTGCACTTAACCTATGCCGCCTGTTTTTCACGAGCAATCTTCTGATGAAGTCCTAAAACTTTCAATTTTGTTCCACGGTACAGTGAGAGCCGTATAGCTTTAAAATTAATGTCGTATTTGTTCTTTCTTTTACTAAAGAAATGTCACTAAGAATTTTAAAATTTGCAATTTTTACAACTAATTTATCTCTTAACATGCCCAGGGCACTTTTTAGAAACACAAAATTAGAAAAGAAGAATTCCACTGTTTTCTGGTTCTCACTGTGGAAAAGAATATCTTTTAAAATCAATAAACTGTAAATTATTATGTTTAGGATAATGAGATTTCAGAATAAATATTTTTTTATTATTTGTTTTTAATTTTAGATTTTTAATAATATTCTTTAAATAGTTATATGATAGCAGATGCAAATATTTTTACATTTCTAAATTTCTTGGTCTTCATTTTCTTCTTGTTCGTACCTTTTCATATTTTGACTAATTTAAAAAAAAAACTAAAATTTTTGGGACATCCTAGCAGTTTGCCAAGGTGCTAACTTAAAACTAGGTGAGAGGCATGCTTTTCTATTTTCCTGTTTTTTTTACACACATTAGATCAGTCAGGAACTTCAGGAACTAAATTCAAACTGATTCAGCACTCAATCATATTCCTGGTGTATTTTCTATTCAAGGTAAATTGGAGGGGAGGGGGGGGGGAGTCTCCTAGCCCCATCTCCAAGGATGCCTCCATTCTCTAATGGAATAAAGGTTGATAGTGTAAAGCTTATCATTGGAGAGTTTCCTTCCATTTTTCTTGTTTTTTCTTGTTTTTTCTTCTTGTTTCTTTCTTAGAATAGCTCTTTCCTGAATGAAGCATTTTCTACGTTTTGAGGCCTCTCCAAGTAGTCTTGTGACAATGAGTTCAGGAGTAGGAAGGAAGGAAATAAAGAAGTTTGGAGGAGGAAGGGAATGAGGGATTTCTAGAATATCCCTGCTTTCCCCTTTTTATAAAGTTGTTCCCAATTAAGTGGAATTAAGGAAACCCCTAACTGTACCATGCTTATGCAAAATGGGGAGTTGAAAGCCTTAAAGCCCCATCAGGTGGAATTTTCCACAGTAGTCCAGTCCTCCCAGCTGGCCAAGAAAAAAACAGGTATTATTGCGCATGGCTTGTATACCATATGGGTTATACTACTTCTGTTCTCCTTCTTTTAACTGAGATGTTGCGCCAGAGAAAAACTGAAGATGGAGTTCTTGTTTACTATTTAAATCCTATTTTCCGCTACTTCCCTGTAGGATAAGTCATCAGCAACTCTATGCAGTGCTCCTCCGAACTGTGAAGCCGGGAGCTGCCACAAGAGGTCCGCTCCCTGTCGCAAGCAGAAAGCAACTGCATTTTTGGATTTATTTAAGAGGAAATCAGTTTTAAAAAATCTTCGCTAAAAAAATTCTTTTTTTTCCAAATTATATTTGCACCAACCTTGGCGTCTGCTGAGATAATGTTAAACTCTCTCACATTGAAATCATAGTCAACACTGAATATTTTTATAGCACTATTATTTTGTTTCGCAGTTTTTTGGTTAGAAAGAAATAAAAAAAAATATTTTTGAAAAACTAAACCATATTTGTAACCTTTCTGACCTTGAATGATAAAGTGCACAGTAATTTTATAAATAGCTATAATGGGACTGGTAACCAAATACATCCATGAACTACTCACGTCGTAGAATCAATTGTTTTTTATGTCTCGAATTTATTCTAAATAACGCCTTTTTATTTTTAATTCTTTTGTAAAACATTCTTATACAGGGTTACCCACAAAGGATGAGACTTCAGAGATGATGGTACAAACTTTTCGCAATCTGTTTTCTCATATTTATGACTCCCTGCAACTGTAAACTTTTCCTTTCTTTGCTAAATCATAAAAAAGATAAAAATAGACTTTCTTCAAGGTAGACGACTTAATTCAACCTTGGGCTCGTCATATTTACAGAGTTATATGTCGTCTTTACAGTCTCATCCTTTGTGGGTAACCTTGTATGTAGTTTTATGACCTTGAAATATGCTTAAAAGTCTCTGCATCACTTTCTCCCATAAATGGAGAAAATCCAGACAGTAAAATATAAGTGATTACTCCGATAGCCCACATATCTAAACATATAGTAAGATAAAGGTCATTACTCCGATAGCCCACATATCTAAACATATAGTAAAATATAAGTGATTACTCCGATAGCCCACATATCTAAACATATATTGTAAAATATAAGTGACTACTCTGATAGAGCACACATCTAAATATATAGTAAAATATAGGTGATTACTGTGATAGCCCACATATCTAAATATATAGTAAAATATAGGTGATTACTCTGATAGCCCACATATCTAAATATATAGTAAAATATAGGTGATTACTCTGAAAGCCCACATATCTAAACATAAAGTAAAATATAGGTGATAATGATTCAGTAGCCCACATATCTAAACATACAATAGGATACAGAGGATAAAAATTGCATGGTTTTATATAAAATATTAAAATCTAAACACAATTCTTTTTATCTTTGGTAATTTTGAAAGCAAAAAAATCGCAGACCACATTTGGACCTGCGGTAAGACCAAGTCCATTTTGTGACTTTTGTTTTATAAAAATATTTTTAAACTAAGGTTGCCAAATGAATACCGGAAACTATATTTTAGACCAAAGACGACTTTCAAATTTTCAACCATTTGTTATATTATTCCAGTTTATGAAGAACAGAGCTGTTTATAAACTGTTTATTTTTAATAATGTTAATAACCTGTTGCAGAAGATACAAAATCATAAGCAATAATCTCAGGAGCAACAAATTCAGGGGTTCCACACATCACTTGGATCTGTAGCAAAAGGGAAATAAAAGTCGTCTTTATTTTAAATATATTTAGATTCAAAGAGTGAAATTTCCGATTCACATGTTTATCATTTTAAAAACTGATTATTTCCCATTGTGGTTTCTAGCTGCAGAAGTGACTCGGACATTTCTTGGTTATGAGAAACAATAGAAAAATTATCAGAACTAAACTCTTTCCGAGCCAAAACATGAAGTTGAAAATCTGGCATTGCTATGGTTGCATGAAGGGCAACTTGAAACTACGCTAACAGTCCCTTTAAGTCTTGTATTTAGACTTTAGAAATATAGTTAGGGATTTTTAATTATAACATAACAACTCTGTAAATGAGCCCAGAGAGATGAGATTTTAAAAGCTTAAACCCTACTAAAACCCAAAACTCGGGCTTAGATAGAACCCAAGTCAGGATTGGTTCAGATTCGACCAATGAGAGACTGTTTTGCAAGCTTTCTCTCTGTAGCAGACAGAATGCCGTCAGATCAGCTGTGAAAAGGAGATGTAAATTTCGAAAATTCAAACTTTCTGTTGAAACATTATTTTCATGGTATGTTTATTTTGTATGATTAATAAAATTTGACACCTCAAATAATTCCCGAGATTTCAAATGTACAAATATAAAAGATTAAAAAATAAATTTACGGGCATCAGCTGCTGAAGACTCGAGTCTTATAGAGAGAAACCCCAAGAGGGTTGGTTCTTACTAAACTCAAGGCCATCCAAAACCCGGGTCTTTACTTGAGCTTTACTTGGGTCTAAGCAGACGCAAAGCTTTTAAAATCTCCTTTCTGAATTCAAAATTTTATGTTTTGAATCTTAGGATCAGATATTGATCTCTATCTGATGCAGATCATTAATTTAATTCTATTTAATCAATGTCCCATGGTGGTCATTTTCTATAATGGATCAAGAATTGATCTTCAAATTGATAATGCCTGCATCAAGATTAAGGATCAAGATTAAGGATCAAGAATAAAGATCAAGATTAAGCATCAGGATTAAAGATCAATATTAAGGATACTCTTTAACAAAGTACTGAATATTCAAGGACAAACTGCCTTACTTTTTAAATTTTTAAGCTTAAAAAATTTGTAATTCATTTGAAAACTATTTACTTTTTCTCCTGGTGAAGTTTGTAGAGCAGTTCCAAAATCCACTATTTTTATTGAACAACCTTCCTTAGCAGCACATACTATATTCTCAGGCTAAGTATATTTTTATTGAACAACCTTCCTTAGCAGCACATACTATATTCTCAGGCTAAGTATATTTTTGAACAACCTTCCTTAGCAGCACATACTATATTCTCAGGCTAAGTATATTTTTAGTGAACAACCTTCCTTAGCAGCACATACCATATTCTCAGGCTAAGTATATTTATAAAATTAATTAATCATTTTTCATCTTTATAAAATTTTCGTATTATGGCTTAACAAATTATCAAATATTTGGAATTAAAAGAGTTCATTAAAGATTGATAGGACTTATTAGCTATATAAATATTATTATATAGAACAATCTTCCCTCATTATTTAACAACACTTTTAAAAACTCGGAAATTTTGTGATTGGCATTCTGAATACAGGCTCATTAAAATATCTTCCCTCATGTGCACTTCCTAAGTTATGGAATAACCTGCCACTTGATTTAAAACCTCGTCAGGCATATTTTAAAAAGTTTATAAGAAATGTTATTTGACGCCTACATCTCAAAGTGCAATAAAACCTCTTGTTGTTCTTGCAAAAAAATAATACAAATATTGGTAGGTTATTGATACATTCTTTATCTTACTCTGTTATACGTACTAAACTTTAAAACTGAAAAAATCAATTATTTTGTTATGCTGCACCTCGGTCTCTCTAAATTTAACTAGTAAACCCTGACTTATTATAAATTTTCAAAACCTAGTAATATTCATCATATTGTAAACGTTTTAATATAAATTAGGTGGGGATAATACCCAGCACAGATAATCTCCACGCCACCTAATTACATATAGCAAACAATATAAGAATAGTTGCAGATTTTTGCCTGTTACATTATAACTTGTATGTGTATGTTTAGCCATAAACTATAATATTTTATCTTATCTCAGATCGGTAATATCAAAATATAAACTTTTATCTTTACATCAATTGCAAGTGGATTTTACTTGCGAGCCATGTAAATCCGCGCAATCCCGCGCAACGAAATTTCACATGGAAACCATATTTATAAAAGTGGAATAATTATCTTTCTTTTCATTACAAAGTTTATTGTTTAACTTTATTGTAAAGTTTATTGTAAATTTTATTGTAAAGTTTATTGTAAAGTTTATTGTAAATTTTATTGTAAAGTTTATTGTAAAGTTTATTGTAAAGTTTATTGTAAAGTTTATTGTACAGTTTATTGGAAAGTTTATTGTAAAGTTTATTGTATTTTTAACCTTTAAATCCAGGTGTAAGATATTCCTTGAATGAAGATATTCTGCACCCCGGCAAATTTGTCTGGAAACAAAATATGTTTTATTTCTTGCAAAAAAAACTTTTTTTTCTATAGAAATGTTCTCTTAGTAAATTTTTTTAATTTTGCCTGTCGTTTTAGGAAAAACTAATTTTTGAACCAGGCTATTATTTTTTTCTTCTTGAGATAACCAATTGCTTGAAGCAAGACAATTTGAATTTGCAGTTTAAGAAAAGAAATTTTTAAGTTCCTTAACTTTTTTTAATAAATTAATGATAAATTAAACAAGTATTTAAACATTGTAATCTTTATTCATATAGTCGAAAAATCCCAAGCACAGAAAGTATTGACCTGAGAAAAAGGCAGCAATCTGTTTCTGTGAGATGGAATGAATCTGAAGCTACTCTCTCAAACAGTTCTCTTCCTTCCAGGTACTCAAGGACTACAGGACCAAAGATATATTCAAGATATAGAGAACGACATCTTTTTATTCCTGCCAAGCTTTTAAACAGAATTAAATATAGAATTAAAGACATTTTTTCAATAAACAGCGTATTTTAAACTTTTTATTTGAAAAAATCTTTTTAGAGATAAAAACATAAATAGAATAGTCGTCTTTATTGTATTGATATAAACGCCGACTGTATTGAAAAAGATAATATTGATCTTTCCTATAATAATCTCTGCTAATCCTTCAAATGAATCCACGTACCGGATAATATGAGGGTTGCTCAGCTGACTGAACAGTTATAAAAAAAATAATTTCAAAAAGTTATTTTTTGGATTTTATTTAATTATATCAGTAAACACTAAACAGGTCTTAAAAGTAATGTTATTTCACCGTTCAAATATTCACTTGCTGTCTTAATTGTTGAATTAACGTCTTGTTCTTATGTGATTAATACTTAACATTTGCAATCTTTTAAAAATCTCATTTCCTTTGCAATTTTGGTCACTCCCCCCCCTGCATTCATAAAAAAATAATCGCCCTTGGACATAAAAGATTGAAGTCAACAAGCGTTTTTTTTTTTTTTTGAGATGATAGTCTTTGTATTATACAGTGTGTCCCAATAAATATGGTAATTTAATGGTAGTATTTAAATCAGATTCAGTTATTTAAAATTATTAAGAAAAAAGTGTGTGTGAAAATAAGATTGAGGGCTTCTCGGCATTCCAAAATGTTTTCGACCATTCTCTAAAGTAAGAAATTTAAAAAATCGCTTATTTGGCAGCATAAGTTGGATGCGATTTTGTTGTCGCTTATCGGCAACATTTGCTGTTAAATGAGCGATTGTTTTGATTTCGTAAATTAGAGTCCATATTTTTATATTTATTTCAAAAGTTTAAATATTTGATCGATTAAACTTTAAGAAGACCTGAGAATATTAATCTCCTTCTCTGTACTGGTCCTGGAAAGAATAAAACTATAAAGATTTGAAACAAGAGCGCCAAGAATGCCCCTGTCGTTATGGATGTACAATAAATTGGTTCCACACAAATTTTAGAAGTTTTACAAAGTTAAAAATTGTTTATTTTTAAAAATATGCTTTCCCTGAAATTTGCCAAATTTAGACCCTGAGTGACAATAAATGGAAAAAAACGTAACAAAAACGAACTTGTTAAAACGAAGATGTTAAAACGAACATGTTAAAATGAACATGTTAAAACGCACATGTTAAAACGAACATGTTAAAACGAACATGTTAAAACGAACATGTTAAAACGAACATGATAAAACGAACATGTTAAAATGAACATGTTAAAACGAACATATTAAAACGAACATGTTAAAACGAACATGTTAAAATGAACATGTTAAAACGAACATGTTAAAATGAACATGTTAAAACGAACATGTTAAAACGAACATGTTAAAACGAACATGTTAAAACGAACATGTTAAAACGAACATGTTAAAACGAACATGTTAAAACGAACCTGTTAAAACGAACATGTTAAAACAAACATGTTAAAACGAACATGTTAAAACAAACATGTTAAAACGAACATGTTAAAACGAACATGTTAAAACGAACATGTTAAAACGAACACGTTAGGAACATGTTCAAACGAACATGTTAAAACGATTTTTTGGTTCATTTTTAGTTTATTTTCTCTGCGGTTAAAAATATTGAAAAGTTTAATAAAAGCAAAGTTTATCAAAATACAGTTTTTAAATGTTGAAAGTTTTATTAAAAGTTTTAAAAAAAACGATTAACAACCCTAGCATGTAGTCAAATGATTATATTAAAAACGATCATGTATTTGTATAAGAACAATGTTCAACCTGATTTTTTGGTTCCGTACTCTTACAAACTTTGCAGCGTAATCTTTCCCATTGTTTCCTAAATATCCAAAAATCGTTCTCTAGGAAATTACCAGTCGATCAATGGTACATGATTTAACCCTGTTTATTTAATATTTTCTTTCTTTTACGAACATCCCCTGACAGTCCAGTTTTATGTTATACAGAGCTAGTTGAACTTGAAATTTCACGTATTTTAAATGCGTGAGAGGCATAGGACCCATAAAACTGTACACTATGAAGACGACTATAAGATTTAAGTTATGATTAAAATAGTCCAATGAACATGAAAAACAGCAATGGTGCAGTGTAAACAGACCTATTTCACCTAAAAAGTTGATTTTTAAGCCACTATTAAAACTTAAAAACTCGTATTTGCTTGAAAACAGCAACAAATACACATAATATTACTTAAATATTCTAGTATAAACCAAATAGTTTATCAAGTAAAATAGGTGGCAACAGAGAAATGGATCAATTATACACGACGTCACAAGTGTCAAATATAACAAGAAAAACGAAATTTTCTCATACTAGTTGACTCTTCACATGTTTTCCAAGATTAAATAAAAAAGTGTAAAAACAGAAAATAAAGAACAACATATAATTGCACTTATTTTACTGTAAGATTAGCACTTTATTCTAAAATTATCACTATTATTAATAATTTTGTCGGACACAAAAACTAAGTTGACACTTGGACTAGAAACTATTTGGTATAAACTATGTTATATGTAGAGCAATATCTTGGTTTGTTTTCTTAACTTGAAAAAGTTAAGAAAATTTCAAATTTTCAAATGGGTAATTCTTGATATTTAATTTTATTATCACTGAAATCTTTACCCCGTGGATCAGACAAGATAAAAGACAAAAAACGTACGAATTATTGAGATACTTGAAATCCTTGAAACGATATTGGTGTAAAAGTAAATAATTTAAAATGTTTATAAATAAACCTGTAACCCTGCTGACAACACCAAATTTTCCTCTTCCTACCTCCTCCCTTTTAGATAAAGATATAATTAATAGAAGATCTGAACACTCGACACTATAAAGATATAATTAATAGAAGATCTGAACACTCGACTCTATAAAGATATAATTAATAGAAGATCTGAACACTCGACTCTATAAAGATATAATTAATAGAAGATCTGAACACTCGACTCTATAAAGATAATAGAAGATCTGAACACTCGACTCTATAAAGATATAATTAATAGAAGATCTGAACACTCGACTCTAATCTCTTTATCTTTTGAACCCTATATCGCAGACCTGATATTTAAAACTATGTGTTCTGTTAGACCAAATAGTCTATGTATAAATATCAGATAAGTAATTGAATAGAAGGTAATAAGTTCAGCAACCTGGCTCAAATTTGAACAATTCAAAATAGGATTTAGGATTAAAAATAAGGTAAACGATACTGCGTAGAAGTTATTGGGTTAATTACCTTTTCTTGTAGAACAAGTCAAATATACTCGCATCCTTCATTTTTCTTTAAAACATGTTTTTAATTCTTTTTTTAATTAATTCCAACGAAGTATGCCCACGCTACTTGTTTATATAATTTTAAAAATAAGTTTAAAATCCTAATGTGTGAAAATAATACGCTTTAAAGGAAGACTAAAATACAATAGTTCTATTTACAATATACTAATCTGGGTCGCGTCTTACATTCATCAAATTTCAATATGAGGAATAAGTTCATTTTACTGCGTTTTAAACGTTTACTAGCCATCAATAACTCTAAAGAAAAAAATTTTAAAAACATTTAAGATATCAAATTAAATTTGATTAAAGTTTAGCTTACTTTAATTAGTTAAAACCAGTAGTTGTTGATTTAAAAACCAACCCTAAACTGCAAACTGTTATCAAGAAAACTATTATTACGTTATCAACTCTACAACAATATATTTACTATTGCTTGTAGTTTGTAAACTGATAACTATCCTCATACTCTAAATTTATAGTCCGTATATCATTGCAACCTGATGATGTAGACGTTTGATTTTTCAAACTATGAATTCTGCCAAAGTTTGACTTATCTAAGGTTTAAAGATTTTGGGATTTGAATATAAGAGTTTGAGGCAAATAATTAGTTCGTTTGGTTTTAATGTGAGGTCAATATTAAAGTAGAAAATTATATTATTAGTCTGTCTGAGTCAGATTTTGAGATTTACTTGAGACTTGACGAATAAAACAAAATTAATCTAATTTATCTTTGACAACTATACGGTAATATTTTCGTTCAGTACATAAACATAATTTAACTTCTCGAATCCTTTCACGGAAATAAATTGATTCTTTGACAAAAAATCAAATTTCATATTCCCTATATCTTTGCGACCTCATGATGTAAACCTTTGATATTTCAAACTTTGATTAATTTATTCGATTTTTTGCTAAATACATTTAAAGTTATTTAAAAAAAAGATAATTCCAGAGCCTCCATGATGACGACACTGATATAGGAGTTTATTCGGGTATAAAGAAAACATACACACGTACATACGTGAATTCATACATAGTACATACATTTACACACAAACTTACAAACATACCTACATACGGAGTGGATGACAGTAAATTCAGGGTTCTGGGGATCAGTAACATTTTGTATAGTACATTTTCGTATAGTAACATTTTGTCTAGGTAACATTTTGTATAGTACACTTTGTATAGGTAACATTTCGTATAGGTTACATTTTGTCAAGATAACATTTGGTATAGATAACATTTGGTATAGGTAACATTTCGTATAAGTAACACTTAGGGTAATTTTTCGTATAAATGTAAAAATAAAGATGAAAAATGAAACACCAAATATCAGCTATTTTCGTATTTATATTTAATGTTACATGTTTAATTTTTTTACAGTTAAATTAATTATCAGATTTTTGAAGTTCTTGAGCCACCTGCTGCAGATATTCTTTGTCAGGCAGAACGCCAAACTGTTCAGCAAGTAACTTAAGACGTTGATGATTGGCCATAGTTCTCTCCTTCCTTTCTGTATTTTGATGCAGATCCTGTCCAATCGCATTCGACAACAGGATTCTTCTAGACTCTGACTCTGTCTTGATAAAGGCATCTATTACTTTCCAAACATTTGGATGCGGACCAACCTGACTATTCCAAACTCAATTAGAACACTCGAGGCTGTTGTTTGTGGCTGTTCCACCTGCTGAAACAGTTGACTATTGATTCCACGATTTTATTGCAAACAATGGCCGCCGACGACTCTTATTTCCACTCCTGGTTGTAGACTTATTTCCTATCCAGGTTCTTGTGAAGTAGTCTCCAAACACTTCTAGTCTTACAACAATATCTTGACGTTCTTTAATTTTTACATTTATAAGAAAAATTACTATGGATGTTACCTATACCAAATGTTACCTATACCAAATGTTACCTATACAAAATGTTACCTATACCAAATGTTACCTAGACAAAGTGTACTAGACAAAATGTTACTATACGAAAATGTACTATACGAAACGTTACTGATCCGGTTCTGGTTTACAGTCTGTAAACTTTAACTTTGGAACTCATTTTATCAAGATTTTTCGAATTATTGTCTTGTTCCTTTATATTTTTACGTTGGAATTTATATTTCATATATCAAAGTACATTTACTTTACTTTTGATGGGGTTTGAAATAGAAATCGAATTATGTACTTCGTTGTAGTTAGTTTTACGTGAATACATATATGGTGTACTTCGTTGTAGTTAGTTTTACGTGAATACATACATGATGTACTTCGTTGTAGTTAGTATTATGTGGATGCATACATGATGTACTTCGTTGTATTTAGTTTTACGTGGATACAGGCATGATGTACTTCGTTGTAGTTAGTTTTACGTGGATATATTACTTCGTTGTAGTTAGTTTTACGTGAATACAGACATAATGTACTTCGTTGTAGTTAGTTTTACGTGAATACAAACATGATGTACTTCGCTGTAGTTAGTTTTACGTGAATACATACATGATGTACTTCGTTGTAGTTAGTTTTACGTGAATACAAACATGATGTACTTCGCTGTAGTTAGTTTTACGTGAATACATACATGATGTACTTCGTTGTAGTTAGTTTTACGTGAATACATATATGGTGTACTTCGTTGTAGTTAGTTTTACGTGACTACATACATGATGTAATTCGTTGTAGTTAGTTTTACGTGAATACAGACATGATGTACTTCGTTGTAGTTAGTTTTACGTGGATACATACATGATGTACTTCGTTGTAGTTAGTTTTACATGAATACATACATGATGTACTTCGTTGTATTTAGTTTTACGTGGATACAGACATGATGTACTTCGTTGTTGTTAGTTTTACGTGGATATATACATGATGTACTTCGTTGTAGTTAGTTTTACGTACATACAGACATTATGTACTTCGTTGTAGTTAGTTTTACGTGAATACAAACATGATGTACTTTGTTGTAGTTAGTTTTACATGAATACATACATGATGTACTTCGTTGTAGTTAGTTATACGTGGATACAGACATGATGTACTTTGTTATAGTTTGTTTCACGTGGATATATACATTATGCACTTGGTTATAGTTAGTTTTACGTGGATACAAACATGATGTACTTCGTTGTAGTTAGTTTTACTTGAATACAGAACACCGAATTACAAAAGATTAAATGACAAAATCCCCTTCGTTGAAGTAAGTTTACGTGAATACATACATGATGTACTTCGTTGTAGTGAGTTTACGTGAATACAAAACACCGAATTACAAAAGATTAAATGACAAAATCCCCAAGGTATATTTGGCCGAAGGGTTTTTGTCCGGTCTTTTATTAGTTTCTTTCAAGAATTGCCAGTTTTCCTTTTCTATGTATATCTATGTATCTAAATATCCCTGTGTTTATAGAAAAATCGATGGCACTGTTAAAATTAAGACTGTTTTATTTATATCCTTCATTTTCTTAGATGTACACGAGAAGTATTCAAATGAGCTGAAAGGGGGAATTTAAATTTACTCTGGCGGGCAGATCCAAGTTCCCCAACCCTTATGATGGAGCTGGCAGGTTCCCCCAGGGGTGGGGGTGGGGGATTACCCCGCTATATTCAAATTTTGAATGGAAGACTCAACCCTACTCTGTTTTTTCTTCAGACGAAGCCATTTGGTACCAAAAGGGGAAACAAAAAACTATAAATATTTTTCTTATAAAATTTAAAAGTAAATTTTGTGCTTTGATAAAAAGTGTAATGATTTTTTACTGAAAAAAAACAACTCTGAAACTATATTTTTAAACCACCCATATTGAAATTTAAATTGAATCCCTTCCCCCTGCCTCCACCCTTCCCTCCCTAGGGGTGAATCATACTGTCGGGTTGTAAGTATCTATCTATCTGGTTTCATCCATCTATCTATTGATTTATCTGTTAAAGAGAATCAACCTAATTTTAAATCTTTATCGTCGTTTATATGCTAATTATTGCAAATCATAATTAAAGTGTGCGAATTTTGAGTGTAAGGCTTTTTATTTGATTATAACTCTACGTTACCCCATCATAACAGCATCTGAACTCTATGTTATAACATGCTAACACCACCCTAACTTTTCGTTATCATATTACAGTGAGGTCCATAAATTGTAGATTAAGAAGACGACATTATAAAAAATGTGTATTTAATGGTGTAATAGTTGTACCAGTAACTGAAACATCAATCTATGATGTAAAATGTGTCTGTGTACACTGCACAATTAGTTTTTTCCTTTCATTAGACTATTTAAATCATAACTTCAGTCTCACAGTCGTCTTCCTAAACCACAGTTTTAAGCGTCTCATTGTACCATTCTAACTTTGTCAGATTTATGAATACATATTCCTATTACTCAACGTTTATTCCTATTACTAAACGTTTTAGATATATTCCTGTTATTCAACGTTTTTGATATATTCATATTACTCAAAGTTTTAGAAATATTCGTATGATTCAACGCTTTAGATATATTCCTATTAGTCAGCGTTTTAGATATATATTCCTATTACTCAACGTTTTAGATATATTCCTATTACTCAAAGTTTTAGATATATTTCTATTACTCAACATTTTAGATATATTCCTATTTCTCAATGTTTTCGATATATTCCTATTACTCAACGTTTTAGATATATTCGTATTACTCAACGTTTTAGATATATTGGTATTATTCAACGTTTTAGATATATTCCTATTATTCAACGTTTTAGATATATTCCTATTACTCAACGTTTTAGATATATTCCTATTACTCAACGTTTTAGATATATTCCTATTACTCAACGTTTTAGATATATTCATATTACTCAAGTTTTAGAAATATTCGTATTATTCAACGCTTTAGATATATTCCTATTACTCAACGTTTTAGATATTTATTCCTATTACTCAACGTTTTAGATATATTCCTATTGCTCAAAGTTTTAGATATATTTCTATTACTCAACGTTTTAGATATATTCCTATTACTCAACGTTTTAGATATATTCGTACT